AATGATTAAAGAAAGTTATAGTCAAAGTTTTCTCTGAAAGTTATGGCTACTAAAGACTTGGCTTAACAGTGAAAGCAATTTGCTTAACTGAGAGTTCTCCTAGTCAAGTTGTGTAAAATTTGCTTGTTGAAATTTGCTGATAACGTGGTGGACTATCTACCTTAACTTATTTCGTTATTGCCTTCTCACAAAGAAAGAGTTTTGTGGAAGAATAGAACAAATTTGTTATGTAAATTAATACTCACTACTAATATTTGCGCACTCCGTCCATAATCGCTTCCACAGACTGCACCCTTCCTTAAACCAGGAACATCAAATGCGTCTAATTGTACCTCACTGGCCATTTCTGCAACGAACTTAGGAGTTTGAATTATAAAAATTCAAAGTAAAGACAATGATGTACTATGTAGTGTTAAACCGTAATTTTATTAATATTGTGTTAAATTACTTCTCTAATTTGTTTGCAGAAATAGATAATATAATTTTATTTTATCGATAACATCTAAAAAATACGAAAGTAAGTACTTACTACTTCTTTAGAAATCATTTTAATTTTGCTGGTCCGTTCCGTCAATGATAGATAAGTCAGTTCCACTTTTTTTGATTGGCAATAGCACTTACAAACATCCCACGATAGTTTTATTAATTACGTGTATTATGTCGTTGTAGTTTATACATTTGTATCAATAAATATGATAAATCCATAACAACTTTATGGACCAAAATTGAAAAAATGTAATACAGTTTTCATTTATAAGGAAACGATTTACTTAATTTTCCAAATAGGGCAATCTTTTTGATATCACCATTGATGAGCCACTGCCATTCCATTGCCACTGTAAAGACACTGAGTTAGTGTAGACTACCGATATTTTGACCAATGCCAATGACCACTCGATGCCATCTCAAATAGCGTGTCAGTGGTATGACAGTGGCTTGGCGTGAACATAAAATAGCAGAATTTAAGCCCTGGACTTCGCGTTGAGACGCCCACGAGGGGCAGTCTTCCAGCGTGTGCTGGGCGGAGTCCCAGTCGGCTGCGCAGTGCTGGCATTGTGCCGTCTCCTCGCGCTCCCTCTCTATTATTAACCATATACTTCGGCCGAGTTTGTTAAGTTTTAAGAAATTATAAAACAATTTATCAACTACACAAAAATAGTAAAAAAAGCGTAAAATAATAAGTTATATTTTAATAAGTTAGATATACGTTCTAAAAAAATTGTATTAGGCAAATTTCGCCGATTTTTATAAAAATCTTAAAAGTCCAATATCTTGAAAATGGTTAGGTTTGGGGTATGGTATTTAATAGTGAAATCTACCAGAAATGGTCGACTTACCCAGTAACCATATTTGAAGATTTTCCACCTTGTGTGTTAACGACAAAATCGTTTCACTAAAAACACTTGAATCAGAACCATACACCATACACAGAAAGGAATAAACGTTTTTGTCTATGTTACCCGAAGAGGCAGATAAAGAATCTACAAAATATATTAATAAAGGGACCAAACAAGCTTCTAAAAAGGCCAAGTCACAAACCATAACAACTTTTTTACGCCTGTCACAGTCGAAAATTGAAATGAAAACTTTAAAAAACTAATTTGGTTATGCCTCTTCCACCTCTCTACCTCCTACATCCCGGCTAGTCGCCGTGGAAGAGTCGGACCATTACCTCCTAACCCATAAAGAAATAGGATAACAATGAACGTAATACAAAAAGCACTTAACCTGTATAAAGCCATATTATCAGTGTAATAACTTTACTATTAGATAGACTTGAAGAATTACAATACCATAGTGGCCATAAAGACCAAAATTAAGGCAATAAAGTGGCACATAGTAGGGAATATGCCCGTGACTCCATAATGGACAAAATATTTTTTTTGTAAACATTATTGCTAAAAAAAAGATACACAATTATTTTTGAAATTTATCATAACTTAATAGTGAAATTAAATCAAATCTTCAAAAAAATCAAATTTCTTAAACGCAACGCTAATGGTAGAACAAAACGTGACGTCAAATTTCACTCGACGTCTTTTGTCACCAAGTTGTTTGTATGGATTCTGGTGATTATTATTTTGTATTGTTTCGCGGTTATTTCATATTACATAAATAGTTTTCTGTGTTAAAGTATTAAATTCTTGCTAAGAAAGATTTAACACAATGGCTGAAACCGGTTTTGTTGAAGCACAATCAGATAATCTTCCTAAAACAGACGCGTTTATGATGATCATAAATTGATTAATACATATAATACTTTTCAATCTGAAACCCAGAAATAAAATAAGAAAGGTAAATAAAAATTGTTTAGAACTTCCCTCTTACTCTAATGAGTTACGTTCGTATATGTTTTCATTCGTAGGCAAGCATAGACAATACTCTTATGGATAAATACCTATGTATTAGATATTGAGAATATAATTATTTTAAGTACTAGCCGAACATGTTTTGTGGTTGCAAATCATACAAACATTCGGTCCGACCCGGGAATCGAGCCCGATACCTCAGAACAGCAGTTGCACACGCTACCATTGCACCACCGAGAAAGTTGATTGTTTTAAATTATTATCTGTGTTGACCATTCGGATGTTGTTGTAACCTTTTTAGCTAATAAATAAAATATTAGTGACCGTAGTACTATTAAACATGTTCTTCTTAAATAAATAGAATGGCTTTGCCGTCATCACAATCAATGTTACCAAGCGATATCCAAGTCATTCATTATAAATATAATCTCATGTGCATACTCGTATCTTATATATTGCTGCTATTGCAATATTTGTGTGTGTGTGAATGCAAAATATCTAATATAAGCTGACCCGCATAAATTCGTCTGCGTCTCTCAAAAGGGATACATTTTCCCCGTTTTTACAACATTTTTCATTGAGGCTCTTCTCCATCTTTCATTGGGCATAGCGTGGTGTTATTCAACCTATAGCCTTCCTCAATGAATGGGCTCTCCAACACTCAAATGTTTTTTTCGATTCGAGTTTAGCGCGTTCGACCAAGCAAATAAATACACACACCATAAAGCTTTACCATATTAGTATAGATTACTGAATTTGATTTCTGTTTTTTTATGTAGCTTGATAAAATAATACTGAAAATTGTTGTGCTATCCGTCCTAAACAGTTTTTTTACCAAAATAATATATTAAAATGTATATTAAAATTCATTTTGTAAACAGACCTAGAAAAAGATACATAAACAGAACAAAAAGACTGAGCCGAAATTGGAATTCAATTTTAATCCAAATAGTGTTGCGGCGCTGCCCGTCTTCAGTCGATTTCGTAATTTATAGACGTATCAGTTAAATGTTATTTTATTGTTCTTGCTGTACCAATCAATAGATTAAATGTTATAAAAGCAATTGTTTGTGCCCGGAAGGCACCGTATACGTTGCGGCATATAGGTAAGATACTCAGAATTTTCTAAAATATAAACGGAATTTTTTTTCTTTATTTCTTCCATGAAATATACTAAGAGAAACGGTCACATAAACAGAAAATGATTACAATTAAGAATTTGCACTAAGCGCCTTCGCCTCTTCTTTGTTGTTTAATTACTTACATACTTACATTGCTATTTTATTAGTTTAGGCGCTTAATGACAATTCTTATTTGCAATCATTTTATATTAATGTAAGCTTCTATTAGTAAATTTTTTTTTTAATTAAGAACATAAAAGGAACATTTTTTTAGTTTATATTTTAGAACATTCTGAGCATCCTCATCAGCATCACTACTAGAGTGGGTGGGTCCGATCCCCACATGAGACGACACTTTGTGTGATTCACAAATTGTTGTTCTAAGTCTGGGTGTTCTTTGTGTCCGTTTCATGTGTGTTTGTAAAGTCCCCCGCGACACAGGATTTATTCCTAGTGCGGTAGTTGTCTTTTTAAAACAAAAAAAAAACCTACCAGTATTATACACAAACAATTGTCTTTTTAACAAGATATATTTGGTACAGCAAGAACAATAAAAGAGCATTTAATTGAAACGTCTATAAATTACGACTGTGCCACAATACACTTTTTAATATAAGAATCAATGAAATTGTATTTAGACTGATTTTTACGATATGTTTAAATTATTAGTGATACTAGTATTCTAATTGCAAACAAAAACTTTAAAAGCGAATATGTTAAGCATTTCGTAAAAGTCAACCCAAGTAATGGTCAGTCATGAGTTCATAAAATAAACTCCTTGAAAGTGTAAATACTCTATGTACAATATTCAAAATGGAATTTTACTGCAAGACTTTCTATAATAAGAGTTGTAGCTTAGTTATTCGAGAGTTTTTTTTAAGAATTGGTTATTTTTCGTTTATTAATTTTTTTCTTTAGATTGGCGTTTGAAGTTATAATATATTTAAATTTTATTTTATAAAATTTTATTATATTTTAAATGCCATTCATTATTATTATTTTTTCTACCTCAAAAATATTAAGTATACTTTAAACTTTTCCTCTTTGCATTTGTTCCGTGCTCAATACCTATTTTGAAAACTCTAATACAAATGTTACAAGCTCTCTATTAGTCCCACTACTAATACAGTGAGAGATCGCTAAAAGGACTATCTGAAACTATAGATCATTATATATGTACTATCCAAAAATGTTGTTGTGTGTGTTGTTGTTTTTTTTGAAAATCTTGCGGTGCATCAACTTTGGACTAGCCAACTAAACAATGGAATATAAACTAATATTGCCTAAAAACGATGGACATTTTTTAGTATACACACAGTAGCACATTAAAAAAAGGTCTATTTGCTAACAGATTCTCAGTCCTGGAGGTTTACTGTAAATTGGATGACAAGGAACCTTATCGGACTCAGTTAGCCACCAATAATCAATAGATTATCTTATGTAGAGACACTTTGTTAAGTCTGTTATTGCAATAAAATATATACATATTTATAATTAATTTATTCCCACCTTAAAACTTCTCAATCTTCTCATAATATTAATTTTAGTATTATTAATTTCTTAACATTATTTAAAGTTCTGTGTGCTGCTTCAACCATGTTTTCTTAATCATGTCGGCTCCCTTCTCACCAATCATTATTGAAGGTGCATTGGTATTACCTCTAACCACAGAAGGCATGATACTAGCATCAATTACACGAAGACCTTTCACCTTACGCACTCTCAGTTCTGGATCAACTACGGAGGTTGGGTCACCATCAGGACCCATCTTAGCTGTACTGGTTGGGTGGTACAATGAGAAAGTCAACTCTCTTGAAATGCAGTCTAGGTAGTCATCGCTGTTCTTGTCAAACTTCTTGCAAGCATCAATGTCGAGGTAAGCAGGTTTGAATCCGGCTTTCTTAAGAGCTTGGGTTTCACCTAATCTCAGAGAATGTTGCTTCATTGATTTGATTACAATCTCCATGTCTTCAGGATCTTTGTAATAATCAGCAAAGAACAAAGGTGCCTCGAAGGGATTCTTGCTAGCTAGAAGAATTTTACCTGCAGATTTTGGTTTCAACAAAGTGTTGAAAATAACCAAAGTGTAATGTTCCTTGTTCATTTCCTGGAACTTAGTGTATGCTTCATCGTTTAATCCGTGCTTGTGGAAGATGTCTAACATATTAGAAATACCAGGCGGAAGAACAAAGTAGTGGAACTGCATATCCGAAGCCGTTGAAGTAGGGTCAGTTGTATTGATGAAACTGATTACACGGTGGGGACTAGTGTTGACCAACGGACCAGTACCGTTCAAGATGTATTCTGTGAATGCTGATACTATATTGTTGATAGAGTAGTAGTTTTTGTCACCAGGCTTAGTGTAAAAGGTGGGCACGAATAAATGGTCTTGTAGGTTCTCACCAACGGGCAGGTCAGCCTTGACTTCAATTTTCATCTCTTCCAAGTGCCTTCTTGGTCCGATACCAGAAAGCATCATAATGTGAGGTGAGTTCAAAGCACCAGCTGACAAAATAAGCTCTTTCCTTACGTTTATTGCTATGTCTTTTCCGTCTTTGTGAACCAAGACACCACTTACGATGTTAGTACCAGGGACAAACAACACTTTAGTAGCTTGAGCATGCTTGATGACGTGGAAGTTCTTTCTGTCCTTGATCGGGCTGAGGAAAGCACGAGCTGTACTGAATCTTGTGCCATCTTTTGTTGTGGTCTGTGAAGTCATTACACCCATTTGGCTTTCACCGTTGATATCAGAGGAATTCTTCAAACCAAGTTCAACGGCGGCATTGATAATCATATGTTCAAAGTCATGAGACTGCTTGTCTACAGCAACGTTTAGATTACCTTCCCAGTTATGGTATTTCTTGTTTTGATCATTGTAAATCCCAGTGAATTTCTCACTCTTAATGAAATAAGGTAATACTTCATCATAACTCCATCCGTAGTTACCGTCGGCTGCCCATTCATCGAAATCGTGTCTGTTGCCTCTTACGTAGAACATGAAGTTGATACTGCTGCTTCCACCTAGAGCTTTGCCACGTGGCCATGCACAACCCTTTGCTTTGTAGCTTCGGCAAGCGGCTTCATCAGGTTGAGTCTTGTAAGCCCAGTCTTGAGGACTACGCATATTGTTATAGAACAGGTGCGGGATCTGGAATAGATAAATTTTATTTTACAATTTTAAATTTAATTTTTAAGGTTATGAAATTGTACTGGCTAATTAATAATTATATTAAAGTTAAATATAAAAGTACTAGCACTACCCTCCATCATACTAATTAAAAGAAAATCTCACACTATAACAACTTTTTTTCAAGAATGATGGCCGATTCTTTTGATATTATGTATTGTTATTGTTTGTTATTATAATAATAGTGATGGAATTAAAATGAGTACCTCAGTGTTTAGGGTAGGGTTGCCTCCAGCTTCAACAAGCAGAACTTTCCATTCAGGTACTTCACTAAGTCTATTAGCAACTGTAGCACCTGCTGATCCTCCACCTACTACGATGAAGTCATAGTTGGGATCTAAAACAAACATAAACTTTTCATTAGAATAGGAATATATAAAATGTAAAGAAATCCTTTTGTTAGTCGTAATAATCTATAAATATTTTACGGAAAGTGTAAGGAGATTTTCAATCCGAATCGTCAAAATTGAATAGATTTGATTAAATCTTTTTTATAAACAGCTTGCTTCCATACAGTGGTCCCATAAAATTATGATCATAAGACACTTCCAGTAATATGATTTAGAGAAGAGCACTATTTTATTTTAACATTTAATTGAGTTGAGTCTTGATTCGTTGTAGTTTCTATATTTAAAAAAATATTTAGTTTAGTTACCTTCAAGTACCGAATTGATGGCGTCAGCAGGCCAAAGGTGGTCACCGACTAAAGCGCATTGTGCCGCAAAAAAAGTTTGCAGCGTCGACATAAACAACGGACCAGCTACTTGGTAGCTGTTCACGATGTTATTCGTTAATACGGGGTCGCAGGCCCACGACATCTTGCACTGAGGAAAGAAACATTTTTTTTTTATCCTTGGCACATTAAGATTAAAGGACTATGATAGTAGAGAATATACGATAGGAGAGATATAGAGTAGCTACTTCTGTCAGTTCACTATATAGAGGCATTGCTCACGATAAGTCACTATAACAATATTAAAAAAACCTGCTGTTGGTCGGAAACTAAGAACTTAGTTTACTACTAGAATTATGTTGAGCAACACAACTTTAAATAAAATCTGCATTTCATAAATAAATGTAAAGAACATTCTATACAACAACCAATAATGTTACAAAAATATCTTACGAGCAGTTGCACGAGAGTAAATATCTTAAATTTTATAATATTGTGACCGTGTATATGAAAACTCTAGATACATATAATATATTAATGTAATACCGCTCTCTTTTACTACTAGTAAATTTTACTTCACATTTTAAGTTCAAGTTCCCACCTACTTAACCAATTCGAATGGGCAAAAGCTTAAATGAAACCAGCTAGTTTTAATAGAGTCAAACGTATCTCTTAACTGAATTATATGCGAAGAATATAGAGAAAGAAAGAAATAAAACAAACATACAGGAGGAAATCACATTTGAGTATGACTTGAGAAAATTTGTGAGTAAGCGATTACAAATCCTTGATGATCAATCTGTGCACAAATATCTTTCATTTATATTTTATTTTTTCTACAAATCCAAAAAGAAATAAAAAGAGCTTATTTACTCAGTATTAAACTATCTATCAGACTACTTAATAAGTTATTTTTAGGGTGCCGTACCTGGGGTGCGTGGTCCGGAACCTCCTTGTGGTGCACCCTGGGCAACGGAGACGGCAGCGCCTCTCTCCCTAGGTGGGAAAGGCGCTGCCGCCTGCGGCCAATTCCGGCCGAGGTGGGAACGGCCCGTCAAGGGCTGTTCGGAGGGCTGCTTTCCGCATGTCCCTCTGTTTGGCAGAGGGCATAGGGGAGAGCGGGCTGGGGGCGGACGGGTCCACTGCCGCTGGCTCTGTCCAGAGGTGGTGGACACTGGTCTGACGCAGACCACCGTCCGGCCATGTCGTAACCCTGACTGGCAACAGTCAGGAATGACGGCTCTTCGAGGGCTACGAGGAAGGCAACCTCTATAAAAAACCCTGGGGCGGACGGACCCGGTCTGGTGCAGACCCCGTCCGGCCCAGCCGTAATCCTGAATGGACAGGACCGGTGGATCTTCGGATCCGCGAGGACGTAAACCTCTATAAAAAATGCTCTAAGCCCACGTTCTGACGCCTGGCAAGGGGCTGAGTCGCTGGAGGGAGTCCAGTGCCGAAGGCGTCCCCGTCGAAGGACGTAAAACTTACAAAAAATGACATGAGGCCAACTACAGAGAAATCTACCCAGGAGGGTACCGGGCACACAGTGTCTGGGGAATCCCTCCCGGAGCCAAACGGCTCCGGCAGCTCCCACTCGTATTCTGGGGGGAGCACCAAATGTCAAACCTGCCCGTCGCCGAGCAGTAAATCCGGCGACGTTATCGCGGAGGACGCGAGAAACGTGGAGGTAGTGTCGAACACCGACACTGCCTCGGAGAGGAGCGGAGCGAGTACCCCTATGGTCTCAGCTGTGGAGCAGCACCAGAAGGGTACTCCAAAGCGCAAAAGGCGCTCGCTTCGCCTGGGCCTGAAGAGGCAATTGGAGTCGGCCTCTAGCGATGAGGCCTCGGCTCCCAAAGTCGGCACAAGCCGCAGAGGCGCTCGCGGCGGAGGCCGACTCCCCAAGGCCATGGTGGCCCGAAAGAAGGTGGTGGTCCAGTCCGCGGCTCTGGGAGGAGCCGAAGATGGGGGTCTTGGACGGAGTAAACAGGAGGGGGTCGCGTCCGAGATGTCGACCACTGATGTGGGGAGCGGGGGTGGGGGTGCTGGCCTCGTTGAGCTACGAGGCAAAACCGGCAACCCCGTCGACCGGATCGAGGAGGCAATCGGCGCGGCCGATTCCTTGCTTCAGACGTCCGGTGTGGCCGGAGGCCCCCAACAGGAGGCCCTGGTAGCGGTTGTGCGCTCCATAATCGAGGCGGGCAGACTCCTTGTGGCCGAGAGCAGGGCCCACGCTAGGGAGAGAGCCCGCCTCGAGGCGGATCTCGCCAAGGCTCGTGCCCACGCTGGTGCAACACCAGCGTCTTCGGCACCTGTGGCGTTGTCCGCCCGTAAGGAGCCGGACTTAGTCCGACTCGTGGCGGAGATGGAGGAGCGGATAATGAGGCGCATCTCCGCAGTAGAGAGCGCCCGTTGTCGCCCACCTCTGGCTCCGCCAAGGGGAACCTATGCGGCCGCTGCCAGGGCGGGCCTAACAGCCCAGCCAGCAGCTAGGGTGGCTGGGCCGTCATCAGCGCCCCCGCCCCAGAAGACCGGAAAGGGCAAAGGGAGGGGGAAGGCGGCCCCAACCCAAGCCCCAGTCTCGGCCCCGGCTGACACCGCACAGCGCTCGTTGGAGCGGGGCTGGACGGTGGCCGGGGACAACAAAAAGAGGCGGAAGGCCGCCAAAAAAGCGGCCAAGAAGGCGAGGAGGGACGCCGCCGCCGCCGCGAAGGGAGCGCCGAGGAAGCTCCGCGCCCCTCGCTCCTCGGCCGTCGTTATCACTTTGACGGCGGAGGCAGCGGAGAGGGGCGTGGGGTACGCCGAGGTCTTGACGAAAGTCAAGGCCAACGTGGACCTCAAAGCCCTCGAGATTCCGGGCGTCCGGTGTAAAAACACACGGACGGGAGCCCGGCTCCTCGAGGTCGCCGGCGCTACCAGTGGCCCCAAAGCCGACGCCCTAGCGGCTAAGCTGAGGGAGGCACTGGATGCAGCTGACGTCCGAGTGTCCAGACCCACTAAATGCGCAGAAGTGCGCATTACGGGCCTGGACGACTCTGTCACGGCGGACGAGCTCAGACTCGCCGTGGCGGAGACGGGAAGCTGCCCTCTGGACAGCGTGAAGGCCGGAGCAATACGCTTCGGCCCCGGTGGACAGGGGGCAGCGGTTGTCAGCTGCCCCATTGCGGCGGCCCAGAAGGTCGCCGATGGACGGAGCCTCCTGGTCGGAGGTTTCCTGAGGGCGCAGGCACGACTCCTGCAGGCCCGACCGGCAAGGTGCTTCAGGTGCCTGTCGGTGGGTCACGTAGGGGTGCACTGCACGGCGGAGGCCACCGTAGGTGACCGATGCTTCCGCTGTGGCCAGCCCGGTCACAAGGCGGGTGGCTGCAACGCTCCGCTGCGTTGCTTTAGGTGCGCAGCGGGGGGCAAGCCTGCCGACCACCGGGTTGGTGGTAAGGCCTGTGCCCTATCGCGACCGAAGCCGGGAGGCCGACCTTCCGCCTCCGAGCCGCTGATCCAGACGGAGAGTGCCGCTGGACAGCCGCAAAGCTCGCTGCGGGATGCGGGGATGGAAGTCCAGTGATGGATCCACATCTCCGCATCCTCCAGGTGAACGTAGGCCACGGTGCCGATGCTCAGGATCTTCTGCTCCAGAGCATGGCACAGTGGTCCATCAACATCGCCGCTATCGCCGAGCCATATGTCCATCGGTTTCTCGGGCCTGCCTGGGAGACCGACTTGGACGGCACGGCGGCCCTGGTGCACGGTACCGCAGCCGGCACTCCACCTCTTGCAGTAGTTGCAAGGGGACGGGGCTGTGTAGCGGCGATAGTTGGAGATATAGCGGTCGTGGCCGCTTATTTCACGCCGAACCGAAACCTAACTGAGTACGAGCAATGGCTCGCTCAGCTGGCCGTCGTCGTCGATGCCTGTCGCCCCCACCCGGTTCTTGTGCTGGGGGACTTCAACGCCTGGTCGCAGGCTTGGGGTTCCCTGCGCACGAACCCGAGGGGCAGGGCATTGGAGAACTGGGCTGAAAGATTCGGCCTAGTTCTCCTAAACCGGGGGGCCGTGGCCACGTTCGTGACGGCGAGGGGTAGTTCGATCGTGGACATCTCGTTCGCATGCCCCTCGCTAGCGCGTCGTGTCCAAGGCTGGCGCGTCGTTGTCGGGGAGGAGACAGGTTCGGATCACCGATATATTCGGTTTGACGTCTCCGCCCCTGCAGATGGCGCGCCGGTCAGACCGGCACCACCTGAACCACGTTGGGCGCTCAAGCGCTTAGATCGCGACCTCCTCCTGGAAGCCGCCATCGTACAGGCCTGGGCTCCTGCGCCGGACAGGCCTGTCGACGTCGATGCTGAAGCACAGTGGTTCCGGGAGGCCATGACCCGCGTCTGCGATGCGGCGATGCCTAGGGCTCAGCCCAATACTGCAAGGCGCCAGGTCTACTGGTGGTCGCCGGAGATCGCACGGCTGCGTCAAGCCTGCGTGACCGCGCGCCGCCAGTGGTCCAGGTTCCGCAGGAGGCGTCGCCGCCCCGAGGATGCGGCAGCGAGAGAGGCGGAGCTGTCAGCGGGTTACAGGGTTGCCAAGAGGACCCTTCAGGCAGCGATAAAGCGGGCCAAGAGCGAGGCCCGCCGCGAGATGCTGGAGACACTGGAGCGGGATCCGTGGGGACGCCCCTACCGTATGGTTAGGGGCAAGATGCGCCCATGGGCCCCGCCGCTCACACGGTGTCTTCAGCCAGAGCTGCTTGAGAGGGTCGTTGGCTCCCTGTTCCCAACGCGAGTGGTGGAGCATACTCCGCCACAGATGGCTCCGCCTCCGGCGCTTGAGGCGCCTAACGTGGATGACGACGACGTGCCTGAGGTCACTGGGGTGGAACTAAGGGCGGCGGTGTTACGGCTTAAAGCCAAAAACACCGCCCCGGGACCCGATGGCATTCCTGGCCGAGCGTGGGTCCTGGCCTTAGTCGACGAGGCTCTCGAGCCCCGACTGCGAGGGTTCTTCAGCGCATGCCTCGAGCGGGGCCAGTTTCCAAAATTGTGGAGGACGGGGAAACTGGTCCTCATCCGAAAGGAGGGGCGCCCGGCGGACTCACCGTCCGCCTACCGGCCCATAGTGTTGCTTGACGAGGTGTGCAAGCTCTTTGAAAGAGTGATTGCAAGGCGCCTCGTCAAGCATCTCGTGATGGTTGGGCCGGATCTGGCGGACAACCAGTACGGTTTCCGTCAGGGGCGCTCCACCGTGGATGCGATCATGCGCGTGAAGGCTCTGGCGGAGGAAGCAGTCTCCCGGGGTGAAGTGGTGTTGGCGGTGTCCTTGGACATCGCCAACGCGTTCAACACTATGCCCTGGAGCTGCATCAGGGAGGCGCTCGTGTATCACGAAGTGCCTCTCTACCTCCGCCGCATAGTCGGGGCATATTTGTCGGAGAGAGCCGTCGTCTACCCCAGTAGGACCGGTCTCGGTAGGCGTGAAATGTCGTGCGGTGTTCCGCAGGGGTCGGTGTTAGGGCCACTCTTGTGGAACATCGGCTACGACTGGGTGCTTCGTGGTGCCTTCTTGGATGGTGTCGCCGTCGTGTGCTACGCGGACGACACACTCGTGACGGCGCGCGGCAAGACGCACCACGAGGCAACCCTGAGGGCCACGGCCGGGGTTGCCCAAGTCGTTGAGCGTATCCGGCGGCTGGGTCTCGAGGTGGCTCTGCACAAGTCCGAGGCCCTGTTCTTCCACGGGCTTCGGAGGAAGCCGCCTGAGGGATCTAGCCTCACGGTAGGAGGCACTCGCATCGGCATCGAGCCCTCGATCAGGTATCTGGGGCTCGTACTCGATGGCCGATGGGACTTCGGATATCATTTCCGAGGTCTGGTCCCCAAGTTGGTTGGGGCAGCGCGTGCGTTGGCGCGGCTGCTGCCCAACATGAAGGGACCCGATGACTCCTGCAGGAGACTCTACTCGGGGGTTGTGCGGTCCATGGCCCTTTACGGGTGCCCGGTATGGGCGGGGGCCCTGAAGGCCAGCAACGTCGCGATACTGCGACGACCGCAGCGAATGCTGGCCATCAGGATCATAAGGGGGTACCGCACGATCTCCTTTGAGGCAGCGAGTCTCCTGGCCGGAACTCCACCGTGGGACCTGGAGGCGAGAGCCCTTGCGGCACTGTATCAGTGGCGCAAGGAGGCGCAGGAGTTGGGTCGATGCCCCGAGACTCGAGAAATCGAGGACCGGAAATCCCAACTCCGCCAGGTCATCATAGGGGAGTGGAGGGAACGACTCGGGCAACCGAGCGCCGGGCACGCCGTCATTGCGGCGGTAAGACCCGTTATGAAGGATTGGCTCGAGAGGCGTCACGGGACCCTCTCATACCGATTGACGCAGGTGATCACTGGGAAGGGATGTTTCGGAGATCACCTGTGTCTGATCCGCAAGGAGCCAACGCCTGAGTGCCACCACTGCGATGGCCAGACCGTGGACACGGCTCTCCACACGCTGGCAGAGTGCCCGGCGTGGGTTGAGCAGAGGCGAGACCTCGTGGCGGCCATCGGAGTGGGAGTTCTCTCGCTCGATAGCCTGATCGCGGCTATCGTGCGGAGCGAGAGTGCGTGGAACTCTGCCGTCTCCTTCTGCGAGCAAGTTATGCTCGCGAAGGAGACGGCGGAGCGGGACCGGGAGAGGTTTAGAACTCTCCCGGCCCGCCAGGCCCGGGCACGGGCCAGGCAGCGCAGGCGACTCAGGCGCCGGAGGTCGCAGAACGACCTCCGTCCTCCATAAGCGCAGGCCTGGGGGTGACAGGTGAGGCCATCTGTCACCCTAGCAGAAGCAGGCCGGGGTGGCGGCGAGCGCGTTGCGAAGCGCGCTCGCTTCCAGGGAGCACAGGGAACATGGGGTTCCCACACGGGGCGGGGGTCGTCTACTCGTCTGTAGATGACCCGAGGTATGTCGGGGCACCAGGGCCTTCCTTTCTAGGGTATACCTGGTTCCCCGGCTCTTAGTACCCGGCGAAGGCGTGCGGTTTTAGTCGGTTCGAGTCCGACATGCCACCGACAGGTGGTATCCGAGGGGATTTCCGCACGGAAAAAAAAAAAAAAAAAAAAAAAAAAAAAAAAAAAAAAAAAAAAGGGTGCCGTACCTCTAAAGGTAAAAAAGGAACCCTTATAAGATCACTCTCTTGTCCGTCGTCTGTCTGTCCGTATGTCACCACCGATTTTCTTAGGAACAGGTGGACCTAGCAAGTTGAAATTTATACCAGATACTGAGGTCTATAGTCCCTATTAGGTGTATAAAAATCCTGAGTCAACACGATAAAAAGATATTAGTAAATTTAAATGTTCGCGAAAAACTTGTAAGTACCAAAATTTACCTTAGTTTTCAACTTTTTTTATTTTTCGAAATTGACCCTTTACTTGTGCTGTAAGACACATTGCTTTTAATCAACATTGACAATTACCCCATAGGTTTTGGGTCGAAAACCTATATAGTAGGTCTCGTTGACCACGAAATTTGGCAAAAAGCAAGGTCTTTCTTAAAGCACAAATAAAGAAAAAATTCCTAAAAATAAAAAAAGTTGAAAATTAAGGTCAATTTTTGATACTTACAAGTTTTCGCGAAAATTTACGTAAAATCTGAGTAGGTATATCAATGTTGTAAGAAAACTAGGAGAATAGTTAATAATAATATTTCAGACATCTGACACAACGCCATCTTGCTTCAAACTAAGCAAAGCTTGTACTATGAAAACTAAATTGACTTATAGAATACTTATATACATATAATACAAATTGCATACATATTATACATAGAAAACAACCAATTAGTAAATCTAGAGCATTTTGAATATTTGTGCTTACCTCTTTTTACAGCTTGTTCTACTACAGGAGTATACAAATCTGTTGCCAGTGACCAACTAACACTGTGCTTTCGATTAAGCTTACTACGCTATATATACTTTGAATACAGTAGGTATATCCCAAGTACTGATATCGAATACTCAATTCAGAGACAATCTTAATTAGTAATATTTTTATAAACGCGTCATTACTTTATGTATTTTTTATCACATTAAAGGTTTACTGTTAAGGCGCTGATATACAGTTGTTAACAGTTTTAAACAGAATAAATTACATTGCTTTAAGAACTTAGCAGGGTTTTTTACTAAAACAATCTTTGAAGCGGTTTGTATATCGTGTCAAAGTTGGAGCTCAATCGGTGCAGAACTTTGTGAGCTTATGAAGCGTTCACAAACCAACTTAACATATATTTATGTAAATATATATATAGACTAGCTATACCCTGTCACGCCACGAACCCTTATCACGGACTTGCGATCCAGGAGTAGGTTTAGGGAGTATTCCTTGCGACGCGTCAGCACTCACCTCCACTGTCTGCTGTGTTACGCCTCTACTTAACCATATTTGATATGATCCCAAGAATGCCGCTTTGAATATTCGTTCAAAAAACAGCTTATAAAGCTCTTGGTAATCCAGGTTTTTCAGGAGGGTTTCCAAATTGTAGGCGTTAAAAAACCTCTAAGGCAGGCGTCGTGTTACGTGTAGCTAACGAACGGCAGCTTAAGAAACTGGAATCTGTAGACGCCATTAAATCAGTAGGGTTGCGATTAGAAAAACCGAAAGGCCGAAAGCCCCGTATAATTGTATAAGACGTACCCGGTTCTATGGAAGATCGTGCCTTCCTAACAGCCTTATACCGTCAGAATATCAAGGACGAATTAAAATTAAGTGAGAACGATTTTATTAAGTTAACCAAAATTGTTAGGCTTCGTAAACTAGAAAATGGGCGTCAATGGATAGGCTTAGAATTAGAGGCAGTAGTTCGGAAACATCTAGCCAACACAAAAGATAAACTTTATATAGACTGGGCCACTTGTAGATTCATAGACGATATAGAAGTAGTTCGTTGCTTAAATTGTCAGCAATTCGGTCATGTACAAAAGTTTTGAATCATTAAAACCTACCTCATTAAAACTTGTGCTAATTGCGCCACCGCACTCACAACGCGAGCTTGTCCTGATAAAGACACCAGATTTTAAGCGCACAGTGCAGGCGGTTAAAAAAAACCATCTGACCATCGATGCGGCTCACACGACTGTGCCACATACAAATTAAAACTGGAGCAGCTAATATTAAATACCAATTACTGACTAGTTTCAATTCAGGTTAAAAAAAAAAGAAGAAAAAGTTTATACAGTAACTTACTAAGTAATGGATAATATTACAATAGGCCAGTTAAATCTTCATAACGATAAAATAGCTACATCAGAATTAGACAGTTTAATTTTAGAACAAAAGTTAGACCATGTCCTTATACAAGAACAATATCAGAGCGCTCGCTTGCGTCGTAATATAGTACAGCTTGACTGCCGTTCGCAGGCTGGGATATATTTTGCAAGTTCTAATTTTACATCACTTACGTTACGTCTTGCAGTTCCTCGTGGGACATAAAATTATCATTGACGCTGATGTCAATGCGTCGTCTTCATTATGGTATGGCAAGTTGCGTTCAACCGACACGGTTTGACGTGGTGCGGTTGAAGATTTCATTGCGGAAATGAATCTTACTATTCACAATACCCCCGAGGCACCACCAACTTTTTGCAACCCAATGGGTGAGTCTTCTATTGACGTGACGCTTACGCGCGGCGACGTCTCGATATCCGGATGGCGTGTCCTCCCGGACGCATCCTGTAGTGATCACCGCTTGATCGTGTACGAATTAATACCAAGGGTTGCACAGAATCCACAAAGGGCTCCTTATAATTTTAGATATAAAAGTAAAGGTGCGAACTCGGCTTTGTTTGGTTCACTCTCTCACACTTGCAGTAGTTTATCAGCTGAGGAAAGCGCAGAAATACTATCAGAAACTTTCACATACTGAACAAAAACTAAAAATCGAAGGGAAACTTAATTCAGAAACTTGTTGATAAACTCGATAGAGAGGGCCCCTGGTCATCTTTCACGAATCACGAATTTAAGGCAAATAGATCAATCGAACTTGCATACATACAAAACATCAAAATTAATAAACGATATACGACAGGAGTAGAAGAAACAGCAGAATATCTTTTAGAATCATTCGTACCTGACGATCAGCCGGAAAGCGACACTGATCATCTCCGACAGATCAGGCAGTGGGCCATCGAACCACTGTCTCCAATGTCTGATTTACCATCTTCAGACGAATTTCTCGGTATCATTAGATCCTTGCCGCTAAACAAGGCTTCGGGCGATGATAAAATATCTAACAAAATGATAAAAGAAGCTTGTAAACTTTCGGGTAACACGATTTTCACTGTCTTTAAACGTTGCATTGCTGAAGGAATATTTCCTCGTATATGGCGGTGCGATAATATTCGTATAATACCAAAAAGTGGCGACAAGCCACCGGATGATCCTAAATCCTACCAACCAATCACATTGTTACCATCGTTAGGAAAGCTTTTAGAACGTCTTGTAGTGCCCCGGCTTCTGCCAGGTGGAGTCAAATTTCATGATAGACAATTTGAATTTACGTTGGGTAATCATCTGATACTAGGGCGGGGCTTGAGAGATTAGCCAATAGATGTTTGAACTTGATATCTCAATGGGGTGAACGTAGTCGCTTAAGTTTTGCACCCAACAAAACCTTCCAGCTACTTTTAAAAGGTAACCCCAAATCACCGCCGAGCATTAGATTTGACAATGTCACTGTAAAAAATAAAACCTCAGTGTGTTATTTAGGATTAGTTTTAGAAAGAAACTTTTCATTTATCGAACATATCAAAATAGTTAATGAAAAGTCTAAAAAGTGTTTCCATTGTATGAAATGATAATTATTAGCATTAGACTAACCCAATTTATTCTGTTGTATTGAGTATGTGAACGACATTTAATATCATATAAACATTGATATATTATAATTGATATTTAAATTGCATTTACTAACTTATGTTTGTATATAAATATGAGAATGACATTTAATATGAAGTAATATTGACTAAATTAAAAACACTATTAAAACAAAACCAAATTATCTATAGTTGAATCCAATTTTTGTGTATATGTATTTATAGAAGCAATAATAATTGTAATAAACTCTTCCTCTCTCCTAACATTTTGCTGTGCCCGACAGGGTCCATAATTGTAACTTAATCATAAGCTTGATATCTGTATCACATTATGGAATGCAATAAATGTATTTGAGATTTGAGTTTCTGTGCATTGACAAGGATATCAACTGCGACATAGGGTATATCATTTAATACATTAAGGATCATATACGGAGCTACTTATTTAGGTTCTATGTGCTATGGTGCACCTGTATGGGCCGATAGGGCGCCCGTAGGCGCTGTCCGTCGCAAACTGTCACAAGGCCAACGACTTGCACTGATATTCTTGTGCAAGGCATATAGGACGGTTAGCACTGAGGCTTTGCCGGTGTTGGCGGGTGTGCTTCCGGTCGATCTCGAGGTGCAGAGACGTGCAGCCATGTACTATTCAAGGCAACAAAATATGGAATGCGATTTATTGGGCGCGCGGGATCGTGGTAAAATTACAAGATTGCTTCAACAGCAGTCCGATGTCTATAATGACCTCATTGACTAATGGCAACAACGCTGGGACGAATCATCCAAGGGGCGCCATTTATACCAATTCTTTCCATCTGTTCGCGAACGGTTGTCGAAGACATGGCTTGAGGTGGATCACTGTGTCGCTCAATTTCTTACGGGTCATGGTAACTTTAAGAGCAAGCTGTATTCATTTAAATTAGTCGAGTCACCATTGTGTCAATGCTCAACACCTAACTCTCACTATGAACAGTCTGCTCATCATATCCTCTGGGAATGTACTCCTTAGTATAATGAACGTAATAGAATGCTGAATAGCTTGCAGGTGACATCTGGGGCGATATACTATGGGGATCTTGTGTCAACTAGGGTGAATTTCCGTGCGTTTAGGCGATTCTGACATACATATTATTGAAATAAAATAATGCTCACCTAGGACCCGTAATATTTTGTGGCCGTGGTGCTTCCCTGTTTAAAAGGTGTATGCCTATTTTGCTTCATTTTGTCTCCCGCTTTGCTTAGGAGGGAAGTGGATTTACTGTATTTCCAACTCCCCCAATTTTCTTCTGATTAATTTCGTTGCGGGTTCCAAGACAGTTTAATTTCTTTCTAGGACTTCCCGAGTGTCATAACTCGGTGTGTTCGTGGGTCACTGCTGTGGATCCTGGTGTACAGGAGTTATAGTGGTGGGCATGTGGTTGGGATTAGTCCCATTGCAAAAAAAAAAAAAAAAAATACAGATGTTAAAAAGACATACTTCTTGCGCAGTTCTGGTAAAGGATATCACATAATCTTTTAAGTTGCACTTTTGAAAGTATGTAATCATTTGAGGTGATAAGACCAAAATTGGGAGTAGTTTATCAACACAGTACTATACTTAGTAGTATATTACAATAAAAAGTCAACTTCAGCTGTTAACCCTAATCTTATCCTTAATTTGTGAAGAAGTTCTGTTGTAGACCAACAATATTAGTCTCTACGACATACGGGCAAAGCCTAGAACGAAAGATAGTAAACCTATAAAAAACTAAAATGACCAAAATAAAGTCAATGAATAAATTTATATTTATATTTTTTTTTTTATGATATAAACAGATTGTTGTACGGTTTTCATCTTGTTATAAGAATAGCAATTAAATAGGATACCACTATAGGAATAATATTGTATTGGTGCTAATTTAATTGCATTACATAATTAACCAACAAGCTTGCTCTTAAGTTATAACAGTAATTACGTTATAATCTTCTTACAAATTATAATATGTAAAACTTACATAACTTTACTGATGTGATAACACACACACACAGAGAGAGAGAGTGTTTATTATTAAGACAAATCCAGAGATCAAATTTATTTATTTATTTATATTTATAGGTGTATTTTAATTTACGATCTGTTGATTTATCTGTAAGTCTTCCATAGAACAAATAAATAAGTTTATGAAGATGTCACTTTGTATCGTCTTCACAAAAATCAGCAAAGGAAGATCTCAATTTCAGATGATCTCGGTTTCTACCGTCTAAGGTTTTCGGCCGTTTATATCTAGGCCATGCCAGGGGAATATTCTGTGCACCAGGGACTTCCTTTGTAGGGTATACCTGGTTCCCCGGCTATTAGTACCCGAGACGGCGTGCGGTTTTAGTCGGTTTGAGTCCGACATGCCACCGATAGGTGGTATCCGAGGGGATTTCCGCACGGAAAAAAAGGAGAATATTCTGTAGCTGGTTACGCTTAAAAAAAGTAAAAAAAAAATAAGTTGGTTTGTGTAAGCTTCAAAAACCCAAAAAAAAATGCACCGATTAGTTCAAATTTTGACACGATATTCAAACTGCTTCACAGATGATTCCTATTTTTTTTAAGAACTATTTTTCGCGTCAGTTTTGTTTCTCATTTCTCATCAACGCAATCACAATGTGACACAGCGAAGCTTGGCAGGGTACTATTAAAATTTATATTTAAACTATATATCACCTATAATAGTTACAAGTGAAATAATTTAATAATTAGTTTTGTGAAATAATTAGATTTACTGTTAGGAATTAATAATAGATAATAATAAATAAATTTATTTCAGACATTAGTCCATAAATGTGTTAGTAACAATCATCTTACAACTATGTTAGTTCTACATTACAACAAAAACAAATTACTAAATGAATCCTGGAGATGCGCTACCATGCACACGCATCCACCTTTGTGGGACTGGAAGGTCTCACCTCTTGGACAATACTCTCAGGATTGGTGCTGCCAAGCAGTCGACACGCTCCGCTTGCTTATGATCGCATAAAAGTAATTGATAATATATTCGCAATAAAGCATATTCTACCACATTCACACAACGCCATCCAGTCCCAATCTAAGCAGAGCTTGTACTATGGCTACTAGAAAACTGATATAAATACATATATACTTTCTTTTTGTAAATACATACCTATTATACATAGAAACACCCAGGCCAAATCAAACATTAAATGTTCATGCACGCAAATGTTTAACTTAAGCGGAATTCGAACCCGCGACCTTTCGAATAGCAGTCCGTTACAAAACCACTACGCCATCCGGTCGTCGGAATTGATCCACAATGTGAAACACGCAATTGTACTTTGACGTGACATCTATAAAGGTAAAGGACTACACAACAAATAAATTGGTATCATAATAAAATGATATCATTGCTATGTAGAGCGCAAAGTTCGTAAAATGCGTCTCATATCGTACCCGCGGTGATCCCTTTGAATGTATCATCTGTCCTACTTATGCCACTGGTCTCAAAGGTAACCATTATCATATTATGTATTAATAGATAATCGAGTTATTTAAAGTGAAGCTACTGACGCTTCGGGCGGCTCTAAAATTTTGTGGTGGTGATTTCTCGTGTGTTATATGAAAGTACTCTCATATAACGCAATAAGATCGTACAAAATTGGCAGTTTGACAAAAAAAAAGATATTGTAAGTTACTCATAGTTAACTAATTACTCATAAACATAGTTTCGGTATTGCCGACATATAACACACAAAGCCATCTAGTTTCAATCTAAGCAGAGTTAGTACTATGAAAGCTAAATTAACTGATAGAATACTTACATAGGTACTTTATAAATACATACTTATTATACATAGAAAACACATAAACTTCGGAACAAATGTTTGCTGATCATACAAACATTTGGCCTGACCCGGGAACCAACCCGAGCCCTCAGCACAGCAGTCGCATACGCTACCACTTCGCCACCGATGTATATATTTTTTATTTATTTACCAAAAAATAAGCATATTATTCTGAATAATTAAAATCTTTAATCAAAATTCATAACTATAGTACAACCTCAAACTTTTCACCGTCGTGGTATAACCAAATTTTACACTGTTTCTGACCGGTTGCAGTTATAATTTCACCTGTTTCATAGTAATATGATGGATCTTTTACACCATTTCTATTATTGTTATAATACCCCATCGGATATCTATCCGTCAGCATATTTCGATAAATTTTTCTTCTAGGCTGCAACCTGAAATACGGATGAAATTGCTTGCGGTTTGTTAAGTTATTTAAAATATTTCCAGAGCTGGTGAGAAAGTTTTGGCCATAAGCATGGATCCGATCACGAATATTTTGAGGGCTATACAAATATTTGCGTAAAGGATCCTGAGGGACACGTGGTGGGTTCCGTACACCGACAACGGTTGATTTAGATGGTAGCATTGATCTGGTACCCTGTTTAGTGTCTAAATTTAGAGTTTTGGTGCGTAAATCATTTCCTTTCTTATTTTTCAGTAACGACTTTCCATTGTTATGAGATTTAATAGCTTGTGCAACAGTCCCGTCATCCAAATGTGGAAAGAAACTAACAGTTTCATTAAATAAATCTGGTAGAACACTTTTGAGATCAATTTTTGTAGGTTCATCTCCTACGAAAACCTCTGATTCTTTATAGTGTGTGTTTTGTGCTGGACATGTTTGCTCGCTATTGTTTTCATTCCAGTCTTCCTTAATCATATCCGAAGATTTTTCAGCTATCATGATTATTGGTGCATTCGTGTTTCCGCTCACGATCGTTGGCATTATACTACCATCGACTACTCGAAGATTTTTAATTCCGTAAACCTGAAATATTAGATTTTTAAAAATTTAATATTTGAATTTTACCACTACGAAGTTTCTTTTCTAAATTTATGAAGAATATAAATTTGCTTGTTTCTATAGTATTTCATTTAAAATATCATCATCATCCTTTATTAGCCCTTAATAGTCCACTGCTTTACATAGGCCTCTTCTCACAAAGGAGGTTTTGACCTACTATACCACGCTGGCCAGACGGGTTAGCAAACGATTTGTGCCAAGTTTTCCTTCTCTTTGCAGTGATGTTGTCCTGCGGACTTTGCTCTCTTAATCGATTCATTCGACACCATAAGGAAAGTATAAGGGTTTACATCAAGTTTTTCTTGTTTTAGAAACAAAATCATCATCATCAACAGCCTATAACAGTTCACTGCTGGACATAGGCCTCTCCTTGGAAAGGAGGTTTTGGCCTACTGTACCACGCCAGACGAGTTGGTATAGGGTTTGTTTCAAGTTTTCCTTCTCTTTGCAGTGCTGCTGTCCTACGTAGTTTGCTCCCTTAGTCGACTGCTCTTACAACACCCACGGGATGACCGGGTGGTGACATTCCGTATTCTTAATCCGTCACCACACGGAGTGAAAAAAATTAATCGAAACCTATTTTGAACAACTAACAATACTGGTTTTTAGGTTGCTGTTTATTTTATTCACTTATTTTAACCACAGAAAACCTGTAGATTTTATTCCATAATGTACAATTATTCAATCACATAAATCTAACAGATTTACAAAGTTTGATTGAATTTCGACGATACATGTTTAGGAAATAGAAGCAGTGTAATGGTTTATTTTTTTAACTTGCATTCAAGGTATACCTAACAAGTAAAGAATACTAAAAGGGAATGAAACATCCAATTATAGGAAGAATTTTAAATGGAATTACTAAAAACTGTCCCATTCACAAATCGCGAATTAGTTTTTGTAATAATCAAGTGATTCATTTACACCAACCCTTAGTCTTGGATCGACAACCGCCCCCTTATCTTCAGGTGGTCCCATGGCGCAGGTACCAACTGGATGATAAATAGTGAGTGTATGGTGTCTAGCTTGGCATTCCAAGTGCTCATCAGACATCAACTCGTGTTGCTCACATCCAGGATTACGATGAGGATTAGGACGTGCATTTAGCGCCCGTAATGCCGGCTGCTGGATCAATTCCTGGACGAATCGAGCTCCTTCAATCTGAAAAGCATTTGAGAGCAATCGAAACGAGTCACCTGATGGTATAGGTAAATAGCAACCACGACCCATGGACCCAACTGAAGAGTGGCAATTTATTCTACGGATTGAGAATGAAGATGGAAAATTTACTCAAAGTAACACAGTAGAGTACCAGAGAATAAAGATGGGAAGTTGCCACAAAAAACACAGTAATGGGGATGGAAGTTATGTCGCGTTGAATAATTTGTAAGGATTGTCATCTGTGGAAAATGCGGATGGGCGGTAAAGTTATGTTAGCCTAACCAGCGTAATTATGTTTTTTCACAAAGGTAAAGGTCGATAAGGCGATGTCCTTTAGGAGGCCGGCTCTTAACACCACACGTACGGAACAATACTTCCGCCAAGTTCTTTTTCTATTCTGTATTTTGTTTTTTAATTTAAACATAGTAATCCAATTTCCTATACATTATTCTTAGGGTGGATTATATTGTTTTAATTTAATAATTATTTTTTGTTAAATTAAATAGAAGAAAACAAGTTTGGATACTCAGTAGAAAGTTATCAAAACATACTTAAAGTATTTTCTAAACTTTGAATTAATGAACTCGTTTCCTCCTTTTAATTTCATCGTGAAATAAGATCGTAACTACTTAACACTAACAACGGCGTCATGTTATGTGATTTAACGTTATACTTAAAGCATTCATTCAATTTAAATAAAATATCTTGAAATTTGAGAATTTACTTTAAAAATTAAAAAATAATCTAAATTTAAAAATAAAAGTGTGAAAGAACTTAATTTCATCACATTGTTATCAATCTATACAAATAAATAAAATTGAAGTGTCTGTTTATTATTTCAAAATAATAGGGTTTTTCATGCTCACATGGTTATTTGCACCTATGCTATTGATACCTATACCTAAAAACCAGTTTAATTTTTTTTGTCTGTTTGATCGGGTAATCTTCTAAACGCCTAGACCGATTTTCCCTATTCTCGTTTCGACCGAGACCTTATGGACTGCAGTCGTGTACCGTAGTACACCAATAAGGCAGCGCTTTTTTAATTCTACGCGAACGAAATCGCGTATACCAGCTAGTTATTGACAAAATACTTTAAATAAAAACCCTCAGATATAGATGCTCATCATACATTATGTGTCCTAGGTGGGCATCGAATACACTACCTCTGGCTGAGCAGTCAATACGACTAATAACTATCCGACCAGGCAACTCAATTTAATTTAAGTAAATAAGATTAACATTTTAATGCCCTAAAGAATGACTACTATTAGGCTGTTCTAAAATAATTCCACAGAAACAATACTACTTACATGAATAGTTATAACAATCATTTATATAACTTTTTGTGTCGGTGAACTATCGATATTGTTTAGATAAAATTATTCAACCTTTTTATTCCCGTGACCCCTACCCTGTTATCGAAATTGTGTTTAATAATCTTTATCGACACAATAAATGTAATCTACAGTTAAATGTTAAATACATGTTTGCAGATACTAATTTGTAATAGTTTCAAAGTTTATCGCTTTATTACAATCTTTACCGCGCCTAATATAAATTATAAATAAACATTGCAAAATTTGTCAGTGTTTAGAAATACGTTAATATTGGCAGCGTAGAAAGTTGACAAGAAAGTCGAACCGTAAAATAGGTAATAGATAAGAGTAAATGACTCACCGGGTGTAGGAGTAAAATATTACTTATTGTTATTTTATTTTAATGATTCCTGAAAGTTCTACAAAGTTGGTGAAGAATTTGTGTTATGAAATTTCACAACTAATATTTAACAATGAAATATTTCACTGTTCAATGCAATGATTGTACAAATACAAACAAATAAATCAACTTTAGGACCACAAAGTATTTATTTCTGTTGTGAAAAATAGAAAATTAGAGAACTGTGAAATTAACCACGTTTAACTATAAAATAATTATTACTAATAAATTAATGATATGCCAGTTGCATATCATTTACTTATTAGAAATAAAACTTGCTTCATAATGAACACATAAGACTTAAGACGTAACAACGACATAAGACATTATATTATAATTTTGTATTCGCAGGCATTGTCAATATATATATATATATATATATATATATATTATACAGTTATTGTGTTATTTAAAGGTATTTAATAAAATAAGATACGTACCAAAACTTGCATATCTTGCGGGTCACTGTAGTAGTTAGGGTATATTAATGGTGGTGAGAAGGGGTTCGCATCCCTGAGCTTCAAATAGCCACGACTCTTTGGCCTCAACAACAGGGGCACCACAGAGAATGACGAATCATACAAAATTTCTTCATACAATTCAGCATACGTATCATCATTTAAACCATTTGCACGTTTCCCAAACAATCCTCCATCCATATTATCAGCTGTTGGAGCAATGAACAGTTGTATGTCTGGGTAATCATCATCAGGGTTTTGGTATTTTGTTTTGATGAACGCCATTGCTTCAGCTTCCATCATACTGTACAAAGGTCCTTTTTTGTTTATACTGAAATCTATAAGGCTCCCCATTCCTATAACTGTGTTTAAATTAAAACAGTAATCTGTTCCGTTGTCATAAGGATTATCAAAAAGAAATGAGTGGCCACCCATAGCTACGTGGTCTTGTAGATTTTGCCCTACCCCGGGAAGATGAACTATTGGATATATTCCCAGTTCCTTTAAATGCTGCGCATCCCCTACTCCAGACAACATCAATAATTGAGGTGACTGTATAGTTCCAGCTGATAAAATAACCTCTTTGCTTGCTCTTATAATCTTTTCTTGTCCATGTTTCCTGAACTTAATACCATAAGCCGTTTTATTTTCATCTATAAGTATTTTTTCTACTATTGAGTTTATACTAATGTGCAGATTTTGGCGTTTAGCTGCAGGTCGCAAAAAGCCTTTGGCTGTACTGCATCTAAGGCCGTCACGTAAAGTAGCCTGGGATCGAGTAAACCCAGTTTGAAATTCTCCGTTTACGTCGCGAATGGCATAGCCAAGCTGCTCTGCGGCTTCCAATATTTTTCTAGTTATCGGTTGTTCGAAAGCAAAGTTTTCTACTGTCAAAGGACCACCGACTGCATGATAAGAATCATCTAAAAACTCAGGTATTCTTATATCTTCTGATTTTAAAAAGTACTTCAAAACCTCGCTATACCTCCAACCTATGTTCCCCATAGATTCCCAATTATCATAGTCTCGTTTATTGCCTCTTATGTATAACATAGCATTAATGGCGCTGGAACCACCCAGGACTTTCCCACGAGGCCACTTGCACTTTTTCTCCACCATGCTTAAACAATAGTTGTCACTGGGTTCTGTAAGGAACTGCCAATCAATTGAAGACGTTTGAAGTACGGGAAATAACACCGGAACGTCTGACAATACATTCTCATCTTGTCCTGCTTCTAACAATAACACTTTCCAATTCGGGTTCTCCGAAAGTCGACTTGCTACCACCGCACCAGCTGATCCACCTCCGATTACAATGAAATCGTAACAATCGTAAAGGTCTTGAAAAGAATTATGTCTGACCCGATTTTCAACATCTTCTATATCTGGTCTGTACAGGTGTATGGCCATTCGAAGTACGATCATGGCCCCAAGTCCTGGCAGCAACCCAAAAATGATTCGCGTGTGGGACATAAGACCCCTGAGCGATGTTGATTGAGTCGACATGATTCCATAATACACTACACTGAATTCTGACTCACTGCACTGGTGTTACAGGTCTTATGGTGTGACAATGAATGGCACCTGATTCAGCAGTAGAGATTTAGCAAGTCGTATTGTGCTCAAGTCGTTTTATGCATTGTTTGATTTTGTACAGAGTAGTTAATGATGCATTTATTTATTTATTTATATAGGACAACTTACAAAACATACACTAATACATCATTTACAAACATGTTTTACAAATATTTTCTGAGTGTTGTCTTACTTACAAGTTGCCACGGCATGATTTGTGTTAAGTTGGTAATTTAATATTTAGTTTTATATGAAAATTACAAAAAAATAAATCTGTAATGTATTAGCACCATACTATGTGAGTTTCAATTATTCACTTGTTATATTTCAAAGTATTGTTTTTTTATCATAGAAACGAATTAATTCCAAGAAAATACGCTGCTGAATAAGAGGCTAAGCTATATTGATATGTTCGTAACCTAAAATTTGCGGTCTTGTAGACCAATACGTCCTGTTGTAACCATAAATATTCTATTTTTTTACTTTCAGTTTACAGTTACTTATGTACTCAATAGTATTTTCTCCATAGTTTGTTTAAATAGACAGGAAAGGTTACACTTTTTCGTTTAAGATTCCAGTAGAAAATTTAATACAGTGATTATTTTTTCTTTTACAAAAAGTACTCGATTCTACTGAAAATTAAAGTTACTTACTCAATTACAGGAAATAAATGAATAATATTTTTTACTTTAATTTACCCTATTCTGTATGTATAGTGTCTTACATACACTTCATAAAATAATAATCTTTGATTCTTAACATTAGTTTTGAGCTGCAAAAAGTTTATGCCAATGTTGGATATTTACTGAAATTGTTACAAAAGGGCGACTGCCAGAACTAAATCAGATAAACCACTACCGATGATTTTTCTGGCATACCTACATAAACAACATGGTTGTCGATTAAAATCTCTATTTAAATTTTATTAAAATAGTGAAACGTGAATGTGCACTGTATATTATGCAGGTTTTCATTACTCTGTACTTCAATCATTATGACAAGTTATTGTGATCAGCAAATCTTTTGATGTGTTATGACATCTCTCAGGGCTTGCATATTTGACCTAGAAAAGCACACGTAAGTAAAACACAATAACAATTTTACCTATAAATTGGTTTATTTTATATCTAATACTTATCAAGTAGTCCATAAGAATTAAATAAATAGAACAATAAATAAAAACTGACATAATTTTACATTCACAAAACTCACGCTCAATAATACTGATTAATTATTTTTGTACCACAACAATTTATATGTAATACCTCGAGGTTCGTTTTTTCAACCAAAACTCTTTGATCATATCACTACCTTTCTCTCCTATCATAATAATCGGAGCGTTCGTATTACCACTTACTATATTTGGCATAATACTACCGTCTATCACCCTCAAACTCTTCACCCCATATACCCTTAGTTGACTGTCAACAACAGCATCAGGGTCCCAATAAGGTCCCATTTTCGCCGTTCCCACAGGATGATAAATCGTACATGTGTACTGTCTTATCATGCATTCCCAGTACTCGTCCGTATATCTCTTAATACTGACACAAGCCGGGAACACGTGCTTGTTTAAATATGAACCATATTTTTGGAACGCTCGTGTTCTGGACAGAGCTACAGCTATTTTGACACCTTCAACTAAAGTTTTCACATCCATCTCATCGGCGAGGTAGTTAGGATATATATACGGATAGTCATAAGGATTTGCACTGCGTAGTTGAATAAAGCCTCTACTTTTTGGCCTCAGTAGCATCGGGATGACACTCCATACATCCATATTGTTTATTGGCCTGAACACAGCGTCATAAAAAGTCTCTACTAATCCATGAATTTTGCGTATCTGCTCACCTCCATCTGAATTCGTAGAGCCAGAGATGAAATGAAATTCAACATCTGGGAAATCGTCAGTTGCATTTGCGTATTTAGTATTAACAAAAGCCAAGCCTTCAACTCCTCCCATAATAGTTAAAGGCCCTTCTCCCATTACCGCGTACTCCATTAAGTTGCTGACTGTAAGAAGACGATTTTCGACTATTGATACTGGTTGATTAACAGTGAATGCTAAACCACCCAGGCCAACGTGATCCTGTAAATTACTCCCAACCTTCAAATTCCGAATCAACGGTATTCTGTGTTTGTTTAGTTCCTCTGCAGGACCTATACCTGACAACATCAATAACTGCGCTGAGTTTATAGTACCTGCTGATAAAATTACTTCTTTTTTAGCTCGTATACGGTAAAGCATTTTATTTCTTACAAATTCAACCCCAAAAGCTACTTTTGTTCTGGGATCTATCATTACTTTTGTTACGTGTGAGTTCATTGCTATGTGCAAGTTCTTTCGGTCCTTCGCGGGCCTAAGAAACGCCTTAGATGTGGAGCAACGACTGCCCCGTCGTACTGTGCCTTGCGCTACCATAAACCCCGTCTGATTTTCTCCGTTTATATCTCTATTCATGTAACCCATCTCTAAGCCTCCTTCTATAAAATTGGATACAAGAGGAGTATGGTAAGGTACCTCTGCAATAGTTAAGTATCCGCCCGTACTGTGATAGGGAGTTTGTGCTAGATAAGGGTTTTTATTATCTTCAGACTTCTTAAAATAATACAGCACGTCGTTGTAGCTCCAACCTTTGTTGCCAAGGGCCTCCCACGTGTCGTAGTCTTTCTTGTTTCCTCGTAAATATAACATGTAGTTGAGGACCGAGCTTCCACCAAGAGCCTTGCCCCGAGGCCAATTGCAACGGCCGTCTTTCATCGCTGGAAATGAAAATAATACATTTATATTAATGTTGTTTAAATATATGTTTATAAAAACTAACACATAACACACAGCTGAATGTAGTGAGTTTAGAACAGCGCAGAAGTTCATTATCACAAAATATAGAACTACTGAACATGAATTTTGAAAATCTATAATACTGTCCATTTATGAAAAGTGATTCCTTGAAACTGTTAAATTATGAAAATATTTTTTTCTATAAAAATTAGTATATTGTTTTAAGAAGTGGCCGTAGACCACGTATAGCATAAGCATGTTCAACCCAATTGTTTACATAAAAGGCTCACACCTGGCACAATTCTTATCAAATATATTATTTGTTTACTTTTGTTTTGTTGTTTGTTCAAATTATATGTATGACAGTATTTTAACTTGTCATGAATAAATTGTTGTTGTTGTTGTTTATTATGTCCTTTAAAAGCAGAAACCCAAAACTAAACAGTCTCAAAAATCCACTATAATCACTTTACCTAAACAAGTAGTTCCTGACGGCTCAGTCTTATACTGCCAATCTAACTTGCTGAGCTGCAAGTATCCAGCCAAGAGAGGGACATCGGATATCTCCGTCTCATCTCCTCCGGCTTCCAACAATAAAACGTTCCAATTTGCTATCTCTGATAGACGATTTGCTACTACTGCACCTGAAAATGAATGAATATAACTTTAGTCAACTAAATAACACTTATATTTATTTATGTACTTCAATAAACTGTAGCACACAGAAAACTTACAGCTAGGAACATCAGTAAAATGAAACAGATTAATTATCTAAAAGCCTACTACAAGATTTCACTTTTAGTTATGAAACTAGTCAGAACTAGTAGAAGTTATCGTACGTAAATAGGTTAAACAAAAAAAAAACAGAAAAAAATCCGACAACAAGAAAAATCACACAGGTAACAAAGCAGTCTAACTAAACTGATTCGAAATGGCAAATTCTCATTTATCTTTAGAATTTAGTAAAACACCGTTGTCGATGTCTTGAATAAACAATTTCGTTTCAGTATTGATGGTCAATCTGTTTATAGGTATACCCAACCCTTGTTGCAAATTATGCTTATTCTACGGGTAGGTACATATTTGAACGTCGAAAATTAAAATACCTACGGGTAAACTGCCAATATTCAAAACGTCGAAAACTTAAATATCAAACGACCATAAAACTGAAAATTAAAATCATGGATTTTTTATTTTAAAACCAGAGATCCGCCCCAGCTTTGCACGGGTGCAATGTAGATACTACTAATGTGGTATCAGTCTGGAGTAATTAATTATACTATTAATTTGAGAAGGCTATACTACAGGACATCTAATCCGTGTGGTAACGGATTAAGAAAACAGTGTGTGTGTCCCCCCCCCCCCCCCCCCCTATTCATCCCGTGGGTGTTGTAAGAGCCGACGAAGGGAACAAACTACGCAGGACAACAGCATTGCAAAGAGAAGGAAAGCTTGACACAAACTCTATACCAACCCGTCTGGCCAGCGTGGTATAGTACTTCAAAACCTTCTTTCTAAGGAGATCCCTATGTCCAGCAGTGGAATATTTAAGGCTGTTGATGTGATGATGACAGGACATCTTTATATAAATTTATAGGCCCGCTCCGCTCCTGTCGGCCGCTGCCACCCGGGACGGACGAACTTACACCTGCATTTTAAGTCTCTGATATCTACTAAGATATTTATTTAAATGATATGCTGTAAGAGGCAGTTTTGATCAACAGTAAATGCACAACGTATCTAACGTATTTATTAGGATAAGGAATAATACTGTATTGTTCAAAATATCTTTGTAAATTACCTATTATTTTTTGTAAAAGTTAAAAATGTTTACCGTGGGTTGTGCTTAAAAGATAGACATATAACATCATAACCTAATCTTAATGATTATATAACAGTAGATGGCATCTGAGGCATTTATATATATATGTATATAAATATTAATAATAATATATTTATTTGCGTTAAAAATGGTGTACAAAGGTGCATGTTTTGCTAATATGTACTAGTTTACAAAAAAAATAACAGTGCTTTTTCTGAAGAAACACCGTAATACTTTAAAAGCTTAACGAGAAGAAGATAACACAAACAATAACATTATCATCATCATCATCATCATCGATCGATATTCTAACCACTCGGCATTTCAATGTTAGACATGTTTAGCTTAGGTATAACAATTTGAGATATTTCGATACTATGAGATATTTTAATTTTCAAACATTTTACCGAAATATTTTACCCGTATTTATTTAATTTTCGACGTTCCGATGTGTACATTTATTCTACCAAATTCACTTAAGGTGTAGTAGTACCAACCAGTAGGTTGTTACTCACCAGCAGATCCAGCTCCGACGATGATAAAATCGTATTGTGGCAGCATTAATGAATCATCCACGTCTGCAGGACGTGCCTCTGGGTCCGAAGCGTCAAACTGGTAGTATGCTATTGCTGCCACTAACATCGGGATAAACCAGGCTACCTGAAATACCAAATACAATACTTTATTGCATCTTTCTTTTTTAAGACCTCTACCTTTATTTTCTAAACACAGAGTACCTATTAGAGTCAGAACAATTCTCTGTGAGCATTAGAAATCGATTTTTTACAATATTTTCATTGATACTCGGCTCTTATTGGTATTAGCGTAATGTTATATAGCCTATTGCCTTCCTCGATAAACGGGCTATCCAACACTAAACTATTTTTTTAATTCGAACCTTCGTTCCTGAGGTTAACGCGTTCAACCAAGCAAAGAAACCAACAAAAAACATACAAAATCTTCAGCTTTGTAATATAAGTATAGATTCTGTGAGTCAAAAAGTTCCTAAAGCAAGAAAGTAGTGTCTGGGTGCACGCCATGTATTTATTTCAAACAATCATTTAGCCTTTTGCAGTCACTGTGACCATATTTTTAATGGGATGAAATTCCTTCTTATTAAAATGAAAGTTTGACCGACACAGGGCGATTGGGGCGCAGCGAAGTGGATTTTGGAGTGGATCGAAGACACTCGAAAATAAACTATAAATCTATTGTGTGCGCGGCCTCTGGCCATATGTATGCGCTTAATAGCAATAGTTTTAAAGTTGCTGCTCCTCTCGGTTTGCGTTGGCCATTAAATATCAAACGGAACATTTTCTAAAGAGCTAAGTACCGGAAGATGCCTTAAGTCGCGTAGTACCGAACACTGAAGTGCCGTTTTTACATTGTAACAAAGCGTTTTAAACAATATTTTTTTGCATCTCTTGCGCAGACTGGCTACACGCAACTGCATGCCACTGTTCCGGTGATAGCGAGATTATGTAACATAGATACTAATATTGCTGGTATTTGTGTACTTTTAGTATAGGTAGACATTTCCTGATGTCTAATAATTTTTCAAACCTTTTACAGTGTTGCGATTCTTTCTGTATAACAATACACACTGTGATGCAAAAAGGGCACTGATAGTGCATTTTTACGGGTTAAAATAACCTTTAAAAATATTAATCGGAGCCAAAAACAAGCAAAATATACAATCTCCTCCTCAAAGGACAATAATAATTTAATACTATCTAACAATTGTGATATTATTTAAAAATAAATATTGTTTGGCCAGCGCGGTATAGTAGGCCAAAACCTCCTTTTTAAGGAGAGACCTATGTCCAGCGGTGGACTACTAGAGCGACTCGAATCGTCGATAGCCAAGAGATGTAGCTTCGCTCTGCATTCTCTATCGTATGTAACATTTAGAGAGCTCCCAGAAATTGTTCGGACTAATACTCCTTTCCGCCATCGTTCCACTCGGCAAAATTTTCATCCCTACCACTTGGATAATTGGTGCTCCACCACTGTGCGCTTTTTAAGACACTTTTTGCCTCGCACTAACAATCTGTGGAACAAGTTATGGGCTGCGATATTTCCAGACCGATACGACCTTCAAGAAAAGAGCGTACTCTTTCCTCAAGGGCTGGCAGCGCGCTTGTGACTCCTGAGTTGCAGGCGTTCATGGGCGGCGGTAATCGCTTTCCATCAGGTGACCCGTCTGCTCGTTTGCCCCCTATTCCATAAAAAAAAAGCTGTTGATGATAATGATGATAAGTATAACAAAAAAAAATATCTAAAAAGGGAATTATGTATAATATCATTGTAAAGACACAGAATCGCATATAGATTACATATTCGTCTTATAAGTTCGTTTTGTCTCATATCGTCTCTAAGTTGCGAATGTGGTGAATTATTTTTTAATACACACGCATACATATACGAGTATATGAGTATAAAACGTAACGGACGTTTACCTGCGATCCAGCAGCCGTGGCAATAGCTGTACCCGACAGCACGTCCGCCGCCGCGTTCACTATAGAGCTCATCTTATCGGCCACCTGAAATAATACAAGTTCACTTATAAGTATAAGCATATAAAACATAAATCGTTGACAATTTCCACCTCCTTATTAATTTTTGAAGAAGCTTATTCTTTCAATCTAAACTCTAACAAGTTATAAGATAAGAATTATAAAATTTAGTATGTGTTTATGTACCTATGGAAAAATATACCATGTAATGAAAAACGTAATGTAATGTTGACGTAATATAATGTCTAGCCAATTAAATGACGTGGATGTTGCAACTAATGGAAAAATAATAGACTTTCTCGTCGCGACGCGCGCCGTCGCGACGGTGAAAAGTTGTATTTAACGATAAGGGCCAGTCCAATTTGGAGTCCTACTACTATAATTACAAGTCGAAAAGAATAATAGTAATGTATGATCTATTAAGTTGACCTAATAATGTAATAATATTAATAAAGGAATAAGTAGTTTATTGTACGCTTATGAAATTAATTAACAAACATACAAATAAACAGCATACGTTGTCAATGTGTGTTATCTGGAAAGTTTGTAAGCTCATCATTTAAAAACTGCTTGAACAATTCGGTTTATATTAATAAGAAACAGGTCATCTTAATGAAGGAATTCAAATTAGTTTTTCTAGAGAAGAAGCGATATTTGTTACTCAAATGCGCTCACTCAGCCGAAACAATATCGCTGGTGAAAGCTGGTAAAATTAAATATTTATACATTGTCTTCTTTTAAACCACATTTTAACTGCACGGATCACGTAGTGTTTTAAGAGGTACCTCGCCGCTTCCTAAGACATGAGACAACTTTGTGTGATCCACAAACTGCTGTTCTGAGTCTGGGTGTTCTTTGTGTCATTTCATAAATGTTTGTAAAGTCCCCTGCAATACAGAATATTAGTGCGGGAGTTATATTTTTAAAAGTAATAAAAAAATATAAATAGCGTAGAAGACTACTCGTATCCATTACCCATCCAGGCACAGCTAAAGTGTCACGTTGACAAAGACTACCGTTATTTACAATTATTCATCGCATCGCAAGCTGTCTGCGTGACTTATCGCTCATTTGACCACCGCATTTAGTGACACACTTATTCGCACCACGTATCGTTTTAATGTGCCAACATTTTTCTGCGCTTTTACTAACTTTTAAATGATTACATACAAGTTTATTTCACTTAATTTTTTTTGTACAACAAAATTTGTCAAAATTTATTGCCCAGAAACCAAGTATACTTTCCCGAAGTTAATTAATGAGCTTCAATCATAGGCAGAAAAAACCGTGCAGAAATGGATGATTCACAGATGGAGTGCATGGATAATATCTTTATCTGACAATTATTTAGAAAAGTCTGTTCATTCAATTAGCACTATTGTTTCATTACCGAAATAAGTATTTCACGCAATTTTTACTTTAATGGTCTATATATTTTCAAGGAGCTTCAATTAATATCTATTTGTTTTCCAAAAACCACGACACTTTATTCTAATTGTTGTTCTTCTGAAATAAAAGAAGTAAAGTTCAGATCATACACTTTACACTTCCACGCCTTAATTACTCAACTCAATCTTCATTAAACTTTGTATAGGTATGCGTTGGAGTACAGAAAAGGGCGGAGGTTAACCACAAAATAGTACAGCTGCCTCGAAATACTTATACACAGAGGGATGAAATCAACATACATATATATACAACTATCAGACTATCTGTTTATAAGGACGACCAAGGCTGAGCCAAAATAAAATAAAACTTAATAATAATTTCATTTTTTGAATCCTCTGTATACAGTATCAGCTGCCGGGTCAATGACACTTTACAGCATCGCTTTTGAAGTAAATTGAAAAGTGGTTTACTTTTTAAATTATTTAATATTATTTTTGTTTGTTAGAAAGTCTACTAAATCTCATTGGAATAAAGCTTAATAATATATTTATGTATGTATGTATGCTTTACACATTCAGAATGATAACGAGTTCCGTAGAAAATAGCTTGGGCTTACGTCACACTTTGTTCCCAACAATGGAGTAAGAGATGTTACGTAATACGCATTTAATTATTATCTAAATGCACCTCGAATATTGATACAAAAATTTAATATTCCGGGGACTACTCTTGTTACGAAATGGTTAGAAAATAACATGGTAACATAATTGGTTCTCTAACTACTCTCGATCCGATGCGGTAAAGTTCAAACAGCTGGCGGAGCGCTAATTACATGCTGTTTAATTTGTATCTTGACGCACGGATGTCGAAGTGGTTTACGCGGTCGCCACGCCGCTCAGTGTTGTGGGTTCGATCCCCACATGGGACAACACTTTGTGTGATCCACAAATTGTTGTTATGAGTCTGGGTGTTCTTTGTGTCCGTTTGATGTACGTTTGTAAAGTCCTCGGCGACACAGGATATATTCCTAAAGCGGGAGTTGTCTTTCTTAAAAACCGAAAAAAAAACACCTAGATGTTACCTCTTTTTTATCGCCTAACTCTTATTACTTCTTTAGGGTAACATTTCCTTACCTACTAAATAATCTCAAGTCTTTGAAATAATATCAATTGTAAGTCGCGACATGTCTTGTCGCCACGTTCGTGATTATCCCGGCATGTGTCAACCCACTGAGTTAGCCCAACTCGTCGAAGACACGACGTACTAGTAGCTTCATACTACACACTTCTTTTTTCTTCCCCTATATGACAACTCCCGCACTAGGAATATATCCTGTGTCGCTGCGCACTTAACAAACACTCATGAAACGGAGACAAAGAACACCCAGACTCAGAACAACAATTTTTGAATCACTCAAAGTGTTGTTCCATTTGGGGGTCTTAAGAAGCGGCGAGATGACCGCTTAACCACTACGTTATCCGTGCAGTTACAATCTTTCAAGATTACACATTGACAACGTATGCTGTTTATAAATTTGTTAAATTGTACAGATATTTGTTAGTTATTTTCATAAGTGTACAACAAGGTACTTCTTTCTTTTTTAGTATTATTACATTATTATTATTTTCGACATGTTGTGCCATGTGGGGATCATTCCCGCACCACTCAGCGCAGTAGAAAGCAGCGAGGTGGCCGCATACACCATTACGCCATCCGTGCAGTACACACATGCATAATAGTAAACAATTAAGTGCACAGTTTATCTTTTGAAACTTAAGCATGACATTCAACAACAACCCTTTATCTCTGGGTTAAAGCCAGAGATAAATTGATGTTGTTGAATGTTTGCAAAGAAACCACAGCAATATAATTGACTATGGCTAATATAAATTTATTACCGGCTTTTGTACGCGGCTAAACTCCAACATACTTCCCGTTTATCCCCCAGGAACAATGTTTTCCTGGATAAAAGGTCTCTCTCATCTCATGTCATTTTCTGTACCTCTGGCAACTTGTATACAAAATTTTAAGAGGATTTATTTAATTACTCAAGAATGATTGGCCTTCTTTGTCAACTATAGTATTGATGACTTTTATAATGATCAGGCTATCTGTTGTTTATCTTTTTTAGAGCAATTACGATAACCCTTTGGCAGCTTATAATGACAGTTCAAATTACCTACTGTTTTTATTATACATCAATTAACATTGACGTATCTTTTAATGTTCTTTTTTTCTTTACAAACATAGATATTTATAAATAGATTAAACTTCTTTAGGTGCATCATACACTCATTATTGCCAGCTGTTGCCAAATTGTAAATATAAAGGGACTGTAATGAGCTAAGTTTAACTTTTGGTTGCGGTTATTAAATCCTAATGATAGATATGAATTAACTTAAAAGTAATTTTTCTGTGTTGTCTATGCCGACAGTCAGTTACTCTATAGTTCCAAAGAAAATTATTTACAGGATTAAATGACAGGAAACTTAAACTTAAAATAGCAATTGTGGCCAATGTTACATTCGCATACACATACTATATCGTTTATAATTCGTCAATAAACTTTAACTTTGAATGCAAAAAACTAAGCTGCCTGTGTACTACGAGTATTGCACCTTTAAGTGCGTATTAAAAGAAATAAATTGCATTCGAAGTTGTAACATTAACTAACATTTGTCCTTATTTGATGTACATAACAGTTCCTTGATTTAAGATAAATTGAAAATGAATTCTCTATCTCTATTATATATCAGGTATGTAATACATACAAGAGAAATTGTCATTAAGAAGAGTTATAGCTCTGATAAACTCAATCATAATATTTGCTCATAATCATAATCTTTACCTTCGTACCTGTTACTTGTATAGAAAGTATAGATGTGGACCAACAACTGCTGTTATAAATTATTAAATTACGTTATTGATGTGCATGTGTCATTAAATATTAATCAGTTAAGATAACGACTGATCTTAATACAAGGAAGCTCTTGCTGTTTATCTACTTCTTACAGTTTAATTTAAAATATTCCTGATGATTACAAGCTAAGGCAGGAAAAATTTAAGCTGACCGTTGATTTTGGTTCTCATAGCTAGCTTATTTCAGATACTAAGTTTGATAAACGACAGTATTACTCGTGGAATGGTTGTTTGGATGGGAGTATGAAAACATGATAGCACTAGTCTCTAGGCTCATTAGGCGCCGGAGAGCACAAATAGATTCGATAGATAAATGGAAGTGACGGATATGTTAAGACTTAACATAATCGAAAAATGTGTCAAACAATCTGTCTTCCTCTTCGTATAAATTTTTACTTAATTCTCTGTTTTATTAAATAATTTTGATTATTAGGCATAATCTGTTTTTACCTTCATAGATGTTTAGCAAATTTAAGTTTTTTTTGTAAAATTACTAAACTAAAAAAATTAACAATGATATAATATAAAAATATACGTCTGTAACTGTGGACATCGTAACCATCGCCGGTCGTTGTCGACTAACAAAAACATAAAGTAGCCAACTTACCTTCAGTTGCTCGCACTTTCACGTTGAAACATAACAAACAAGACAGCACTGCACTAGTAATATTAAACAACAGTTCAATATAATGTGCGCATCACATAGTAGGCCTGAACACTTCTCTGTTCGTTATCACTGCATTTCCACATCACTCGAAATACTATTTTACTTCTTGATATTTAACATTCAAAAGCAAGGTATTCCAAATGAGTCACGTGTAACGGCCACTTTCTTCGACTGCGTCAAAACGACTCCCGCACATTGGAACCTTTGGATAGTACGAGAATGGTGGGAGTTGGTATCCGTTTAAATAGTTTTGTCGACGCTTTTTCTAGATTGGCGGCAATTCTAGGTTTACAATATGTTTTATAAACCTAGTCTTATCAACCTTTAAAGAAACTGGTAAATAAAGAGAAACTACTACAAAGTCTGACATAGAGACAGGACAATGAAAAAAATAACAATACAACGTTATGTACTTAAAATAATAGTCTACATTTAACTGTAAACTATATTAATCGAACTCTAAAATATTATTCATAACAACATCATGTGCTCGTGACTATTACAAATTCGTCCAAACCTTTTAATAATTTATTTAGCATAGAGGGGCAGTAGAAAAACATAAATGTAATGTATAATCGCTTGCCGAACTTAAACTTGCTACACATTCCATTCCTAAGGTCGTATTAGCCACAATTTGAAAGTCGGACACAATTGAGAGCAACGGTCATTCCTATGGGAATGTAACATAATTACATAAACTTGCCGAGGTATACGTGTCAAATGGCAGGTGTCGTGAGGTGCGTACTTGACCAATAGCACGCGGAAACCACTAAAAGTAGAGTAAATCGCCGAGGACTTGAAGCGCAGGATATCATAACATAAATCGTTTTTAAATATATTTGACCAATGCTAAAAATATCAACAGAGGCCAGTGAATTTGTGTAAGAACTTTAGAAAATGTTATTGCTTGTGTTATGTTATTTGAGCTAACGTTCGTGGGAATATGTGATTTTAGTCTCTTTGAGTTTACTGTCGAGTACCCGGTAGGTGGTACCTATAAGGAATATACGTTCGTTAGGGATTACAGTAAAAGACCTTTATTTCAGAAAGAAATGGTATTTCGAAAAAAATAATTTAAAGACTAGGTATGTCTTATTGCATGCTGAACTTGGTCGATGGTATTGACTAGCATTAACATTGCTGCCATTCGGCTTCAAATTTCAAAAATGTAAGGGGACACACACCCAGTTACTACGAAGACTCAGTGTCTATAAAGGTGAGGAATGAAACGTAAGGTATGAGCCCCCTTAACAGGGTAGCCTAACAGAGTAACAGGCGACAATGCGCGGAATCAGAAAGCATTGATATCATAATGTAACTCTCAGTGCGTATATTGTCATTATAAAATTGTCAGCAAAATTGTAACAGTGAGTTCCCATAGAAAAATATTAAGGAAGTTTCTTTTCTTCGGAAGTTGTAAATGATACGTCATTGCATTTTAAAAACTAATGATTCATGCATAAGAGTATAAAGTGAAAGTATTCGGTATCGGACGATTGTATTCCGTGTTATTTTTTTTTAATTTTTAGAAAAAATACGTTTAATATACGTAAGTTGCTACATATCATCAACAGCCTTTACTAGTCCACTGCTGAACATAGGCCTCTCCTTAGAAAGGAGGTTTTGGCCTACTATACCAGGCTGGCCAGACGGGTTGGTATAGGGTTTGTTTCAAGTTTTCCTTCTCTTTGCAGTGCTGTTGTCCTGCGTAGTTTACTCCCATAATCGGCTCTTACGACACCCACGGGATGAATAGGGGTAGTGACACTGTATTCTTAATCCGTCCATCCACACGGACTACATACAACTATACATTATTATACGATACCGCATAATAATGTATACATAATAATAATAATTTACATTACAATCCTAACGAGACCACAGAATCCCAAGAAAACGTTAGCTAGAAAAAGACTAACATTGTTAAATTTTCAATAAACCTATAAAATCGGAAAAAGTGAAAAATAATGTTAGTGTCAGTTGTGATTTAGGGTCAATGAACTCCATCTTCATTATACACTCACTCATATCATCGAAGGGGTAAACAAACAGAGGCGTATTAACTGCCCATATTTTGCCGACTATATTTTTAATCCCACACTCGTAGTAGGGGCCGAGATTGTTACCTAAACCTACCTAACCAAGAAAATACTAATAAATGCGCAAAATTATGAGTTAAACATGAATTAAAAAATTGATAAGATTTGAAGTCAATGGTAGGAAATTAATATTGCTTATATGAATAGATGGAAAGTGTAAATAACAGTGGTCAAAGTTGAATAATGAAGGTCTAAGCTGAATAAAAAAACAATTGAGGGTCGGAAATCCAATGTTGCACATTTTTCAAGAGAAGAACCTTATATGTATTATGTGACAAAAGTTTCACACGAAAATCTCACACCATGAAGGTTTTATGTCAATTCAGAGTATCTATTGCTATACAACGGCAATTTCATACTTTTATTAGCCCCTATTATTAGTTTGAGTTGGTCGCATACCTACATGTTACTCAAACTAACTGCTACCGGAAATTCCCAGGAAGTCCTTTTACCTAAATTATATCATCTGCTTCATCTGCGCATCATTTGGAGTCGCTGCAGTAAGTATGATTCTTCCATTCTACTCTATCATTCCTCATTTCACTGTTTACTCCCTTCTTAGCCATATCCTCACTTACACAGACCATCCATCTTGTATTGTTCCTTCTCTTTTCTTGTATCTTTCAACACACCCATACCTAACACTTTCTTTGCCACATTTTCCTCATCTCATCACACGCATTCAAGTAATGAACTGAAATAATTCGTGAATCAATATGAACGTGCTTCTAAGATTTCGATGCTTTAAGATTACCAACTTCTGTGTAACTTAAAATTTGTATACACTTGCAATATTGAGTATCGTTCAATGTTTCTTTTACTGTATTTCTTTTTTAAAGGTTTACTAGCAACTACTAGTATTCCCGTTAACCCCTCCCGCTAGGCTAATTTTTTTGTGTTGGGAGTGGGTTCACGTCAGTAGTGTACTGGTCATGATTCGAACACACGACATCTGAATAAATGGCGTTTAATTGTCAAGAAAGGCTTAGAGATTTACTTAAAAATCTATTTTTTAACAGAGAAATGAATGATAGTACTTGTAGAGTAACCTGATAATTTTTAATTTTCCATTAATTCACTGAACCTTTAATTTTTTATAAACTTCAAGCATGCAATCAAAGCAAGTAAATAAAGTCACTATAACTATGTAATAATGTCTGATAAATGATGACTCATATGAATTATTATAATATGGGCATTATATTGTTAATGTGAACCATCAAAGACAGAATCTCAATTCTCAATTTCATCATGTCATTCCAGACACCAACTGTAAATGTCAATATTTGATCAATCACTTTTACTGATGATTGTGAACAGTTTTATTAGCATGTATTACCACATAAAAATTCACACACTCAAAATTAAACCACGCTTACCTAAACTTTGACGTTTGATATTTAATGACGTGTTAAAATTAATCTTGCTAATAAAAGAATTTGGCCTGATATAAAAATAGTTGTCATTTAATTGTTACCTATTCTAAATACTGAATAAAAATGTAGTAGAGATATCACCGAAGAGAATTTAAAGAAACAATGTTAAGTTTAGGGCGAATAAAGTTTTGAGTTAAAAAAGCAATGATTTTTGTTTATGCAGCTGTACAATATGACCTTAAAATAGTTCCTGTCTTAGAGATATTTTTAACAATATACACGTATAGCCCTAAAATAGAAAGCATTGAAGGATGTAAGTAACGGTACTAGACTGGTTCAGGAATAGAAACCTGTTTGGTCGAAGCCTCTTTCTCTCCCAAGGTTACCGGTCGAGATAAATTGTGTTGTCTAACCTTTATATGGAAGGAAGAATTAGAGATCATGGATTTCTGGAAATAGATGAAGGACAGCTCGTACATATGAGAGCAGATTAATATTGTTTATAAGTTGATATACATATTTATAAATGATTGTAATACTAAGTTACTCGAATGGGGTCTAATAAATATTCTTTAGCATTCTTAGAAGCAAAATCATTCTGTATATGGGTATACTCGTACAAATGCGAATGAAAACCTAACGAAGACAATGCACATTTGCAAATAGAGTTACCATACCAAGTCCAATAGGTTTTTTGTCATAAGTGCTTTTCAGTGTTCCATGCATTACATTATGCCTACCTATCGTACTTACGCTCTTTTAAAGTGGTTTAACATTAGAAATAAATTTATTTGTTGTTCAATGATATCTCGACAACCATTTAGGAAGAAAATAAAAAAGCGGCTCATTTATTAGACATTTATTAGGTCCCTACTTAACTTTACTTTTATTAGACTAATTAATAACGTTTTGTTACAGGTGGTTGCTTCGGTTCTATGACAAAACGCACGATTGTAGGCGGATGGGCGTGGGCTTGGTGGCTCGTGACCGACGTTCAACGCATCTCCCTCGAGGTATGCTGTAATTCACAATTATTATTTGCTGTTCAATTTGAGAATTCTGACACCAATTAACATTTAACACAAATTACATTAGTAATTCGCCCTGCGTTTACAAATTTGATAGCTAATGTCCTGTAACATGCACACAATGTTATTTATATAGTAGTAAGTCATGCTATGTGATATATTTGAAAATAAATTATTATTGTTACATAAATAACAAAACATTTTAATAAGCCAGCGTTCCCGCCAAAGGCGCTGCGCGCTGGCGAGAAATATAGTCAATTTCTTGGCGGAGGTAATTTTTTAAAACTCGAACTAGAGTTAAGATTCTATCATTTCTAGGCAAATCCAATCTTCTATATATATATAAAATTAAGTGGTTTGTGTTCGCTTCAAAAACTCAAAAAGTTCTGCACCGATTGAGCTCAAATTTTGACTGGATATACAACCTGCTTCAATGATTGTTTTAATTATTTATATTCATCTCATTTCTCATCAACGTAACTACAATGTGCCACAGCAAACCGTGGCAGGGTACAGCTAATATATTACAAAATGACTCGGCCTGCCTGACTGACTGAGTCATCAACGCAGAACCTAAACCGCTAGGGCTACAAATTTTGGCAGCTGATGCTTTTATTATGTTGTTAGCACCTACTAAGAAAGGATTTACTTCACACATCTCACACACGGCAGTCTGGTCCCAAACTAGGCAGAGCCTGTACTATGGTAACCACACTGCTGATAAACATACTTATATATTTTTAAATACACACATATTATACATAAATTATACCCAGATACAGAACAAATGACCGTGCTCGTCCCACAATATTTGTTCTGGGTGAGAATCGAACCCACGACCTCAGGTTTGGCAGTTAGGGTCACTAACCACTATACCAACAGGTCTGATTATTAAAGGATAAACGGTTGTATGGAATTCGTTTGGAAAATTAATAAAAATAAGAAATAATCATGCTATATAAAAATTGTATTGTCTTGTTTCATGGTATATTATTTTATTTCAGGTTATGACATTGAACCCTATGTGTGAATTTGTGGAGACTGCCCAGGGCGTACCGCTTACGGTCACCGGTGTAGCACAATGCAAAATAATGAATGAAGACGAACTTCTTACAACAGCCTGCGAACAATTCCTTGGCAAGACAGTCAGGGAAATCAAAATGACGGTTCTACAAACTCTGGAGGGACATCTTAGAGCAATTCTCGGTAAGTAATTTATTTATACGCCATCTACCGTATAATAGTAAAATTATAAACTATATAGCGCTTTAAATGTACTTGCGAGCCAGCAGTGACATCTGTTAAAGGTAATAAAAACTGTACATCACGTGCTTGTATTATCAGTCACCGTTATCACAAATAGATGGTGCTACTTGGTAATATTTAATTTACACAAACGAATCTACTGAAATTGTATATAATATGTTTACTAAAATAATACTTTATTATGCTTAAGCTTTTTCTAATACATTCAATCGTTTTTCATTAAACTTCTATGACGTACAAATTTTTTTACTATATCAATCTGGTCTTCAATAGATAAAAAAACGAATAAAGCGTGTAACACAAAGAAAAGGGCAACATTAAATGTATTTGCAGGACATATACGCATGCTTGACCTCATTAACGCTTATTCATATGAAAGTGATCGTCACTTCCGTAACTAAATGCGATCTTATCTCAATAGTTAATATCAGAACGTGAACGAATGTCATGACAGGTACTCGTACAAGCAAGCCGAAACACACCGAGCAACAAATATAAATTAGTGCCACAAGTTACGACTTAACAAAAGTCACTTCGTAAAGTCCATATTTATTCATTTGTTGGCTACAAACAGAACAGATCTTCGAAATTAAACTTGTCCTTCCTATAGCATCCTTATATTTGTTTTGCGCCCTGATCCTTTACTTATTGGTCGCCTTAGGATTGTCAAGGATACATTGTAATACGGCGGAGTTATTTGGCAATCTTTTTAAAAGATTCGCATAAAGATTATTTTTGAACATGGTGAGAAATATACTCTTTCACAATATTCCGGTACAGGTTATCTACAAAACCAAAAAAAAACCGCTGCAAAGTCAACTCTTGTTCGTTTGCTTGTGTTGGAGGAGTATGTTCGCCTTTAATTTTACGTCCACATTTGTTCGTGAGCCTCATGTCGCTCATGTACAACTGTACCATGCGTCACTGACAGACTTCCCGTAACGCTTCCGTTTTAATTTATGTCAAAAGCTACACTTACCTTTTTGGTTCTATCAACGTCTTTTTTATGTTACTCTATATCATCTCTTGAATTGAATAAATTTTTAATAAGTATACGAGTACAAGTCAAGCCTTTAGAAATATTATTATTATTTAAATTCAGATAGTTAAAGCCTAATATAGGTTCCTGTCTTATGTGATTCTCAGGTATTTATGCAATTTTACTTCTTATAAGATACTGGCAGATATATTTTATCTATAAAACACACACACACAATCGGTTATAATTAATAGCCTATCTTGGAATCTTATACATTGAAATGCCTGTGTGCTCTTTATATTAGCTAGCGATTTGCTGAATAACTGTAGTGTGCTAGATTTCAGCGTTCCAAAGAGACCGAGACCCCCACTTGCTTGAATCTGTTGCCTCACATTTCGAAAAAAGGTTTATGTTTGTATTCTGGTATTTATAATTATTAAGCTAATAAATGAACATGGAAAGAAGTCTCGGCATCGAATTGATGACTCGTGAAATTCAAAATTGTACAACAATTTCTTTTGTAGTAACGAATCTTTGGAGCTTCACTTTTATCATCGTGTTAAATCTACTTTATCCGTAACAATACTCCTGATGATGATACTTAATCCAGGTTCTAATACCTCAAGTTTTAAGTAATTTCTCTCTAAACTTTTTATGGAAAAAATATCGAATTTAGTATAATTTTTCTATGCTTAGACTGGCTGCTCGAGCTATTGCTAATGCTCCTCGACTATTCGTATCATCAGCATCATCATTATCGACAACAACCTTTACTAGTCCACTGCCAGATTTAGGCCTCTTCTTAGAAAGGAGGTTTTGGTCTATTTTAACATGCATGCATACATATCGATCATGAAATGAATGGTTTTTTTATGACATAAATACTTTTAAAATTGCATTGAATACCTTAATTATTTGTAATGCATCACTCTGTATATCGCCTTTCCTATTGTACAAAACCTGTTGCGATCGGATCGCCGATCGGCAATGTGCGGTACCGTCGGTGACGTATTACGCAGTGGGAACTAAATGAACCTACTACAATGACTACCCACTGAAATTTATTATTATTATTTTCTTCCGATATATATAAGTACACCGATGATATGTTGATGATGTTGTACTGTGTGATAATGTTGCCTTATCCATTTTTTAATTTAGAATAATAAACTGTTTAAGTATACATAAATAATATGTATTAGTAATGACACTGATGCACGGAAAAACTCGAATGAGTTTATGCGGCATCTTACTGTTTAAACTGTGTACCTTATTTTCTAACAATAAATAAATAAAATACAAAATCCGCATATAAATTCAAGTCACCTTTAAATTTTTAATTGGTGTATATTATTAATATATTTATAAGAAACAGCGATTGGCCCATAATTGACCCTTGCGGTATACTGTATGTAATATTTTAAGTTTCACTCATACTTTGCCCGACTTTAACAACCTTTCGACGATTGGTTAGGTGTGATTTTAACATATTGTGTGCAACCCCTCCAATATCGATGTCATTGGCTTTTTCAGAAGGATTTCGTGGCTAATTATTACAAATGCCTTCTTCAAGATAATAAAAATACCTAGTGTTATTTATTTGTTGTAAAATTGGTCTTTATTTAGTTATTAGATCTATAATTGCCGATAGCGTATTAGATTTCACTCTAAAGCCATACTGCTTTCTTTAGAGGTAATTTTGTTAGCTTAGGAAATTTTCTAGACGGCTATGTAACACTCTTTCAAAAACCTTTGACACAACTGGAAGAACTGATATTGGACGGTAGTTACTAGGGTCGCTCTTATAAGGTATAGGATTTGTTTCAAGTTTTCTTTCACTTTACAGTGCTGTTTACTGTTACAGTGCTATTTTTAATACAAAGATCCCTCAAATCAATGACTTGTGATGATTCTCTGTGACTCAAAGTTTTTTTCCAGGAGTCATTCGTATTAGCTTTTAGTAATTATTTTCCCTTAAACCGTAATGGGAAATGTCACAATGATTTTGTGACTTATCGGCTTCTGCATGATATTATATATTTGTATATTGATAGCAAAATCTGCGTAATACATTAGTGATACAAAAAGGTAAATTAGTGTTTTTAAACATCCTCAATATTAACTACTATTTAGGTAATGAATAATAAGCGTATAAGGAAATATATAGGTACCTATTTATGTAGCTCAACTATGTACCACGTATGCTCTTTTTATACATTGATCATACGATTATCTTGTAGGCCATCCTAATTTTAAGTGTTCTAACATTTAATGTACACTTTAAATATCGTTCCATAAACAATCTGGTATGTTTTAAGCAATTATATGATTACCCAGTCCAGATTTCGTTTTGGGGATTGAGAGAAAAGGTTAGCACGTGATAATAATTTATATAACGGCTTAAGAAGGAAAAGTATCATGGCCAACGTGGCTCTGTTAATACGTTCACCTTGTTAAATGTTGGAAATTTCTAACAGAATACAAAATTTTAGAAAAAATATATATTGTACTTGCTTGATTAAAACCTGCATTAATAAGCTACGAAACCATACATTACAAAGCATTACTAGTGAACTTAAAAGATTATAAGACTGAGCTTCAAACTACGAAACCCTTATATTGCACGTGATCTGACACACATTTTATTATTTAATTAAAAGACAACGAGCTAAGCGTACCACATATGTACCTACGTAAGTAGGAAATGCAAGTCCCAATGTCTTATTTAAATAAGTAACTCGTAAATACAAGGGTTAACCTTGGCTTCTCTAAGGTTGTGACAAGGTTTCCTGTAGATACAAACACATCAGTAAAAAAGGGCGCGTACGAACAATGCCCAAAAGGGTACTTGCCGGTGGAATGTGACGGTAACGGTTTGGTGGATTTCTGCCTCAGATCCAGTCGAGTAATTACAACAGATGTCTACTCTACAGCGCCCTAAGGACACTCTAGTTAAGGAATTAAATATCATTAATTTTTCCAATTCTAGAAAAAGTAACATACCAACCAACCTCCTTGTACCTTGATACCTGACGCCAAAACTCCTTAGGAATGTAATAGTTGTCAGACAGAATACAGAACAAAGTAAATTGGTAGAAGGAGAGGTTGGATAGAGTGAAGGAGCTAGGATTCCGTAAGTCTCTAATAGATTTCATCAATTTCTTACGGGTCATGGTAACTTTAAGAGCAAGTTGTATTCATTTAAATTAGTCGAGTCACCATTGTGTCAATGCTCAACACCTAACTCTCATTATGAACAGTCTGCTCATCATATCCTCTGGGAATGTAGTCTTTGGTATAATGAACGTAATATAATGCTGAATAGCTTGCAGGTGACATCTGGGGCGGTATACTATGGGGATCTTGTGTCAACTAGGGTGAATTTCCGTGCGTTTAGGCGATTCTGCCATACATATTATAGAAATCAAATATAGCTCATGTAGGACCCGTAATATTTTGTGGCCGTGGTGCTTCCCTGTTTAAAAGGGTGTATGCCTATTTTACTTCATTTTGTCTCCCGCGTTGCTAAGGAGGGAAGTGGATTTACTGTATTTTCAACTCCTCCAATTTTCTTCTGATTAATTTCGATGCGGGTTCCAAGACAGTTTAATTTCTTCCTGGGACTTCCCGAGTGTCATAACTCGGTGTGTTCGTGGGTCACTGCTGTGGATCCTGGTGTACAGGAGTTACAGTGGTGGGCGTGTGGGTGGGATTAGTCCCAAGTCTCTAATAGGGAAATGGGACTAACACTGCACTTGGATAATTGGCACTCTACCACTGTGCGCTTTCAAGACACTTTTTGCCTCACACAACTCTGTGGAACAAATTATCGTCTGCGGTTGGGCCCGGTTCAAGGAAAGAGCGTACTCTTTCCTCAAAGGCCGGCAACGGGCTTGTGACTCCTGACTGCAGGCGTTCATAGGTGGCGGTAGTCACTTTACATCAGGTGACCCGTTTGCTC